GCTGATGTTCTTGTTGGTGTTGTTGCCGGTGTTCTTGTTGGTGTTGTTGCTGATGTTCTCTGTCGATATTCTTTAATTAATTTGCATTCTAGAAGTAGACGAGTCGCCGTCTCTATTGGAACAACATCCACAATGGCCAACTTGGTTTGTTATTTTGCTGTTATCTAACGTGTTGACGGCAAGAGCGTGTTATAGATAACGATGTGCGATTGATCCAGACACTTGGATTATTTTCCTAACATAAAGTTTTAGAGATGTCTCTATCTTGTGCGTGTGGAAATTCTTTAACCCTTTTAGCCTCCCTGTGGTTAAATGGGGGTGGGGGGTGTTTAAGGCGTGGGGTAGGGGAAGGGTGGATGAATGGTTCAATTTGTCTCAGTGGTCCTCAAGTAGTTGTTTGTGAACTATTGGTTTGGTTATCGTTGATGCCACGTACGCATGATTGTTACAAAGTAGGTAGTTGTGTCTGGATGTAATGTGGCGAGTTGTTATTGAATGATGTCGGACGTGCCAGTTTGATACCTAGTTAATGCATTAATATTTCTTGGGGCATCCTGCTGATTGTCCTATGATCTTGTTGTCTTCTGTTGACTGATAATGATCTTGTTGTCTTCTGTTGACTGATTATGATCTTGTTGTCTTCTGTTGACTGAACTATGACCTTGTGGTCTTCTGTTGACTGAACTATGACCTTGTGGTCTTCTGTTGACTCAACTATGACCTTGTGGTCTTCTGTTGACTGACCTATGACCTATGCAGATTGATCCCACCCCCAGTTTGTGGGTTTCATGTTGGGTTTGCTGTCTTATATTTCTTATCTTGGTGGGTTTTTTGGGATACTTTTCTGATTTTAATCCCATTGTCAGCTTACTTTTTACCCATTGTCATTACTTATCGAATAGATTACTTTGTTCCCATTGCCATTACTTATCTAATCGATTACTTTGTTCCCATTGTCATTACTTATCTAATAGATTACTTTGTACACATTGTCATTACTTATCTAATAGATTACTTTGTACCCATTGTCATTACTTATCTAATAGATTACTTTGTACCCATTGTCATTACTTATCTAATCGATTACTTTGTTCCCATTGTCATTACTTATCTAATCGATTACTTTGTTCCCATTGTCATTACTTATCTAATCGATTACTTTGTTCCCATTGTCATTACTAATCTAATCGATTACTTTGTTCCCATTGTCATTACTTATCTAATCGATTACTTTGTTCCCATTGCCATTACTTATCTAATCGATTACTTTGTTCCCATTGTCATTACTTATCTAATCGATTACTTTGTTCCCATTGTCATTACTTATCTAATCGATTACTTTGTACCCATTGTCATTACTTATCTAATCGATTACTTTGTACCCATTGTCATTACTTATCTAATAGATTACTTTGTACCCATTGTCAATACTTATCTAATCGATTACTTTGTTCCCATTGTCATTACTTATCTAATCGATTACTTTGTACCCATTGTCATTACTTATCTAATCGATTACTTTGTACCCATTGTCATTACTTATCTAATCGATTACTTTGTTCCAATGGTCATTACTTATCTAATCGATTACTTTGTACCCATTGTCATTACTTATCTAATCGATTACTTTGTACCCATTGTCATTACTTATCTAATCGATTACTTTGTTCCCATTGCCATTACTTATCTAATCGATTACTTTGCTTTTAGAGAAATAATTAATTTCCCCATACCTGGAATGTTGATGTTACAGTAGGATGGGGGGATATCTATGGGGACATATCTATGGGGACATATCTTATCTGGCGAAAGGTACCTACAGAAAAGGGAATTGAATAAAGAACAAAGGCAAAGAAAGCTTCTTCGTGCTGAAGGGTTGATATCATGTGCGTTAATCACCAGGCTATCTCCTACAATTTACTGGAATCCGTTCAAAGACATTTCAAACATCTTTTTACGAGATACATTTTTGCTACCTTCCCCATTTTATTCAAATTTATCAAGTTAATTTTTTTTAATCACTTTAATAAAATGTGTCTGGTTTTTGGTTGTTTTTTTTTATTTAAAAAAAATTAAATTTAAAAATGCAGGTAAATCACGGGCATTTCCAACCGCTTTACCTGTAAGAACATTGAGACTTTAAGCAAGACCTTATTGTAAGGCCGATTTAAACCCGCTCATTTCAACCCACTCATTTCAACCCGCTCATTTCAACCCGCTCATTTCAACCCGCTCATTTCAACCCGATAAAAGGTTTACCGGGAAAACAACTGTTTAAACATCCGCAGAAACTCTGCTTGTTTTTATCAAAGATATGGCGTTCTTGAGACAGTTTTAGATCTCAGGAAATTGTTATCTCTATGCATTTTTTTAAAGAGGATCATAAGTTGTCTTAATGTGCAGTTGTAAATGTGTAGTTGTAAATGTGCAGTTGTTAATGTGCAGTTGTTAATGTGCAGTTGTTAATGTGCAGTTGTAAATGTGCAGGGGTAAATTGGTAATCCTGAATATGTAAATGTAAATGTTTAGTTGTAAGTGTATAGTTGTAAGTGTGTATTAGATTCTAAGTGAACACGTTTCTGTGTCCTGTTGTCGTGGTAGATGTCAAGTGGGTGATCCTCCTCCATAGTTACTTGTAAGTCCCACTCAGACCCAGTCAGACCCAGTCTCTAGGATCAAAGGAAAGTTTGTTTTTAACACACTAGTTGTTGGGTTAGAACTTGACATCATTTGTGTGAGTTGTGAATTGAGATAAACACCAGTATGATTTATGGGACACACAAGTTTGGCTGACACACAGATTGTTCGTACACTTGAGACAAGTATTCGGGAATTCGGCTTATAGTTATATATAGACTTCTCATAAAATGGAAAGCAGGGGTATTCCTTATTTCTTTAAATTTTATTTTCTTTCTTTTCTTTCGTTTTTTTTTTTCGGTTCTTTTTTTTATTTTTTTTTTTTAAAAATTTATCGATATATTTTAAAGGAAAAAAGGGGCGAGGGGGATAATGGAGGGGGGGGGGAAGGAGTTGTGTGTTTTTCCGAGTTATCACAAAGCGGATTGGCCAATATTCCAGGGCACTTCAATCCCTTGGTCTGACTGGGAGCACTGAGACTAGAACAAAGTCGTGATCAGTGTTCCTGTGCCGGCCAACTACGTCATAGGACTACTTTCATAGATCAATAATTGATGTTTTGATTTATACAATCAGGCGATTCAAAAGTTTGGTCGGTGGTGCGGGGGTATGCGTGACGGGAGGGGGGGGGCGTGTGCCAGCCATGGGTGGCACTTTCTTTTTCGTCCACTAGAGAATTATTATTCTTTTTTTAATGATAATAGACACAAGACAAACGCAATTTTCTCCATAAGTTCGTACACACTATAGTGAGGTGGTGTTTTTGGTGTGCATTGATCATGATCTCGAGTTTGTCAGGATCTGATGGTGGAACACTCCAGGACCACCCTCCCCCCCCCCCAAAGGGTGGCACACTCAAGGACCACCGCGAGGGGTCGAACACTCAGCAACACAACCATGTGTTACAAATTACAGCTACGAAACTGCTAGTATTAATATTCATTTGTTAATAGTCTTACTTCAATGACGCACCTTTCATTTGTTCAATGAACAAATGAAAGGTTCGCCATTGAACTAAGACTATGAAGAAATGAAAGGTCCGCCACTGAACTAAGACTATGAAGAAATGAAAGGTACGCAATTGAACTAAGACTATGAACAAATGAAAGGTACGCAATTGAACTAAGACCATGAACAAATGAAAGGTCTGCCATTGAACTAAGACTATGAACGAATGAAAGGTTTCCCATTGAACTAAGACAATGAACAAAGGAAAGGTCTGCTACTGAACTAAGACTATGAAGAAATGAAAGGTTCGCCATTGAACTAAGACTATGAACAAATGAAAGGTCCTTCACCTGGCATTAGACTCCCATATGTTTCATCTGTTATCATTTTAAAATAAATAATCGCATATCTGCCCCTTATCACGTGTCAAGTGTTGCCTGGATCCCCTGCTACGTAAACACCTGACCCAATCTTGCTGTTGGGCAACGTGTATCATGCAGCAGGTTATACAACCATTTACCAACGCTAATAAATGTACGTACCCACACATACACGCTCCCCCCCCCCCCACACAGACTAATGTTGTCAGTGGCGTACAAAGAGAAATGAGGAGTTTTCGACCTACTCAGATCAAGTGAGGATTTTTTTGCCCACTCAGGTCCAGTGTGGAGTTGTTGGCTCATTCAGATCCAATGAGGGGTTGTTGGCCCTCCAGATCCAATGAGGGGTTGTTGGACCACTCAGATCCAATGAGGGGTTGTTGGCCCACTCAGATCCAGTTAGGGGTTGTTGGCCCACTCAGATCCAATGAGGTGTTGTTGGCCCACTCAGATCCATTGAGGGGTTGTTGGCCCACTCAGATTCAATGAGGGGTTGTTGGCCCACTCAGATCCAATGAGGGGTTGTTGGTCCACTCAGGTCCAGTGTGGAGTTGTTGGCCCACTCAGATCCAATGAGGGGTTGTTGGCCCACTCAGATCCAATGAGGGGCTGTTGGCCCACTCAGGTCCAGTGTGGAGTTGTTGGCCCACTCAGGTCCAGTGTGGAGTTGTCGGCTCACTCAGGTCCAGTGAGGGGTTGTTGGCCCACTCAGACCCAGTGAGGGGTTGTTGGCCCACTCAGGTCCTCATTATTAGCCAACTGCAGATTTTTTTTTGTGTTGTGGAAGGGGGCGTCAAAAACCTTGATCCGCCCAACTGCCGGATGTTCCCAATAATGGATTAAAAATTGTCAAAATTGTAATATGCCATCAGTTACAATGTAGGCGGATGTCGTAAAAAAGATATGCCTGGTAGTGGAGGGGGGGGGGAGAGGGGCAGCTTAGTTACCATCTCCTGTGAGAGAACTTCTGCTCGAAAGTCTACTAATTATCTTCCTGGTGCATTTTAAAGGTTTAATACTTAGTTTATCAGTGTTACCAACACTAGGGATTTATTGTGTGGGCATATAAGGGTTAAGATCAGCAAGCATGAACTTCTCGGGGTCTCTGTTGTCTTATTTTAGTTTGCTTGCTTTTTTGACGAGTACGAGCGCATCCCCACCTTACACACAGACACAAGCTGACGGGACACCATCTGGCAAGGCACTATCTTCCCGGCCATCATCTGGCCAGACTCTATCTGGCATTGCAGGAACACGGAGACAAGTATCTGGCATTGATCGTTTTTTATCTGAACGTCCAAGAAAACTCAGACGTTTCAATGGAGAGAAAGATCGAGTAGGTTTGTTGAAAAATGTGACTTTGAGTGTTGTAAGGAAACTGACTTTGAGTGATGTACGGAATATGACTTTGAGTGATGTACGGAACACGACTTTGGGGAATATATGGAACATGACTTTGAGTGATGTATGGAACAGGACTTTGAGTGGTGAACGGAACATAACCTTGAATAATATACGGAATATGACTTTGAGTGATATGCGGAGCATGACTTTGAGGGATGCACGGAACATGACTTTGAGCGGCGTACGGAAGAACTCTCAAAAGTCTATAGAACAGGGAATACATTCCAGCATATCCACAATGTCTCCATCACATCTGTCGTCATTTGGTAACCAAGCATCCAAAGGCGTCCCTGTAGAAACAGATCTGGTGGGCTCCCAGGCAGCTACCCATGTGCCCATCGAGGTGCCTGGACACGACAACCTAAACATGCCTGACCAGCGCTCGGAATATCCTTGTCACGTGACGAGAGATGTCGTTTACAACGGCAGTTTGGTGGATTGTACACACGGAGGCATAAATGACGTCAGCAGAGTGGAGTTTCCAGAGAACACCACAACCTTGATTCTAGACAGAAACAACATCACTGTGCTGAGGAACCAGTCGTTTGTTAAACTGACATGGCTCCGTCGTCTCAGTGTCAGATCAGCGAATGTCAGCCGCATCGAGGTAAGTGTTGACCACTTCCTATCTTTGTAAGTGTTGCCTATATTTTATCTTAGTAAGTCTTGCCTACTTTATAAGTGTTCCGTATGATTAAATTTTCTTAGGCCAGAGCTAAAAGCTAAAGATGTATTGTTTTTTGTTTTGTTTGTTTTGTTGTTTTTTTTGGGGGGGGGTTGCCTCATAGCAATAGATGTAATAATTGTGCGGTGTTTTGGCTAATAGCTGTAGATGGATGGAGTGTGTGGGATATTGCCCCATAGCTATGGATGTGTGGAACGTGTGGGATATTGGCTAATAGCTAGAGATTGTGTGGAGTGTGGAGTGTATAGCCCCATAGCAATAGATGTGTGGAATTTGTGGGGTGTAGTCTCATAGCTAGAGATGTGTGTAGTGTGTAGTGTATAGCCCCATAGCTATAGATGTGTGGAATTTGTGGGGTTTAGCCTCATAGCTAGAGATGTGTGTAGTGTGTAGTGTATAGCCCCATAGCTATAGATGTGTGAAATTTGTGGGTGTAGTCTCATAGCTATAGAGGAATCGGGTGTTTGGGGTATTTGCTAAGAGCCATAGATGAGTGGGGTGTGGGGGGTATAGCCGCGTAGCTATAAATGTGTGGAATGTGTGGGGTATTGCCTTTTAGCTAGAGAAGTGTGGGGTTATAGCCTAATAGCTAGAGATGTGTGGGGTTTGTGGTGGGAGTGACGGACCTCGGTGCCATCTGTGATCGCTTTTGAGGAACTATGAATTTTATTTGGCCGAAAGCTCGTTGAAAATGTGAGAACTCCTGATGAGATATTGAATTCAGTCTAGCCTGCTTGTTGAGCTGTCATTGCCAACTTAATGTTTGTAAGAAGTAGACATGTGTCAAAGCAAACGGTGTCATTGACAGTGGTGGCAAAGCATGGTGTTTCGTGTATGACACATTACTCAGAGGGTGACAGTGGTGGGAGTGCATGGTGTGTCGTGTATGACACATTACTCAGAGGGTGACAGTGGTGGCAGTGCATGGTGTGTCGTGTATGACACATTACTCAGAGGGTGACAGTGGTGGCAGTGCATGGTGTGTCGTGTATGACACATTACTCAGAGGGTGACATTGGTGGACAGTAGATTTAACTTTTGTAGTTTCTGTCTTTGTAGCTAAGTTTGTAAAGGTGACCTACATCTGTCATGTGACCGCCTGGGTTAAATTGAAATGCCCTGTACTAAACGGCTTTTAATCCAACATCGTGTTAGTCAGAACGCCTTGTAACAGTTAAATTGCTGCATGAACACCTTGTAACAGTTAAACTGCTGCATGAACACCTTGTAACAGTTAAACTGCTGCATGAACGCCTTGTAACAGTTAAACTGCTGCATGAACGCCTTGTAACAGTTAAATTGCTGCATGAACGCCTTGTAACAGTTAAACTGCTGCATGAACGCCTTGTAACAGTTAAATTGCTGCATGAACGCCTTGTAACAGTTAAACTGCTGCATGAACGCCATGTAACAGTTAAATTGCTGCATGAACGCCTTGTAACAGTTAAACTGCTGCATGAACGCCTTGTAACAGTTAAACTGCTGCATGAACGCCATGTAACAGTTAAATTGCTGCATGAACGCCTTGTAACAGTTAAACTGCTGCATGAACGCCTTGTAACAGTTAAATTGCTGCATGAACGCCTTGTAACGGTTAAATTGCTGCAAGAACGCCTTGTAACAGTTAAATTGCTGCATGAACGCCTTGTAGCAGTTAAATTGCTGCATGAACGCCTTGTAACAGTTAAATTGCTGCATGAACACCTTGTAACAGATCAACTGTATCATGTAACAGATCAACTGTGCCATGTAACAGATCAACTGTGTCATGTAACAGATCAACTGTGTCATGTAACAGATCAACTGTGCCAAATAACAGATCAACTGTGTCATGTAACAGATAAACTGTATCATGTAACAGATCAACTGTGGCAAATAACAGATCAACTGTGTCATGTAACAGATCAACTTTATCATGTAACAGATCAACTGTGCCAAATAACAGATCAACTGTGTCATGTAACAGATAAACTGTATCATGTAACAGATCAACTGTGCCAAATAACAGATCAACTGTGTCATGTAACAGATAAACTGTATCATGTAACAGATCAACTGTGCCAAATAACAGATCAACTGTGTCATGTAACAGATCAACTTTATCATGTAACAGATCAACTGTGGCATGTAACAGATCAACTGTGTCATGTAACAGATCAACTGTGTCATGTAACAGATCAACTGTGGCATGTAACAGATCAACTGTGTCATGTAACAGATCAACTGTGGCATGTAACAGATCAACTGTGTCATTGGGTTCGCGGTAGTTGCGTCAAAAATTTGAGATTACTCTTCTCAAAATTTTAAAAAAATTGTTTTTAATACACGCCCAGGTTCTCATTCATGGCCATCCGTCACCATCCATCACCATCCATCACCATCCATCACCATCCATCACCATCCGTCACCATCCATCACCATCCATCACCATCCATCACCTACACAACCCCATTCCGTCACGCAACCGTCATCTACCCGTTAGACCACCCGTGATTCATCCGTCACCACCTCGACATAGATAGGGAAGAACATGACTTGAACACCGATCTGCTGAAAACGCTCAAGTATGAGATGATATTGTGGAGAGTTCGGACGACGACGCCCGTCGCCGTCTGACAGGTACAGCCGGCGCCAGCTGACCAGAGAACACGACCGAAGGATCAAACGCCTGACCATTTACGGCCGTCTGACACCCAGACACGACCGAAGGATCAAGCGCTGGAGGCGGTAACGGCCAGCCATCTGACCAGGGCAGTTACCTGGGACGTCTGTGTAACTTGGCGCCATTTGAGAAAAAGGGGCGGGGTATAATCTGGACTGGGAGAGGAACTATGGGACAGGGAGGTATAAATAGGGATCTCTGGACGGGACGAAAAAAGAGCGCGGCCGGACAAGGAAGGCGGCCGGACTGAGAACTAGATAGCAGGGAGAAGTCAGAGTTGTGAGACGAGTGAAAGTGTAAGCAAGTGACAGCCAATAAAGAACACGAGTTTAATCATCAAATGTATCACCGGAGTTGTTTCCTTATTGAGTACCAGATCTAGATGAAGTTAATCAGAGAGTAAGCAAGGTTTCCTTACAATATTTATTTATGTATTTATTTAGGCACTTTTTCATAGCGCTTACCTTACAGCTCTAAGCGCTACACAATATTAAACACATGCAAACTATTAAAACTGCTAAAGTAAAATAAAAAGGAAAAACCAGAGACACTAGAACAGTAACTACAATGTTAAAAATGACTATAGAAGCAGTAGCTTAAACATTAAAATGGCTATAAAAACGAGTACACTTTGGCACGTTTTGGCCTATACTACAGGATCAACCCGACACAGAAAATGAGGCAGGGTAACGAGGGTGCATCACAGGTCATAGGCGGACCTAAACAGATGGGTTTAAGGGACTTTTTGAAAGTGGACGAGGTTTCACTATGACGTATATGGAAGGGGAGCTGGTTCCAGAACGTGGGCCCATGGAAGCAGAAAGAGCGTTCACCGATGGTCTTAGTTTTAGTTCTTGGGATTGAGAGGGTTCTACTGTCAATGGAAGAACGTAGTTGTCTTGTGGGGATGTAAGGAAGCAACAGTTCAGAGAGATAGACAGGAAAGTGAGGGTTAGTGAACGAGTTGAAGCAAAGATTGGCAGACTTGTACTTGATGCGAGAGGATATTGGAAGCCAGTGGAGTTGCCGCATATTAATCTCGGCTGACCAGTTTTCCAAATAGAAAAAAAATGTGTAGGACTTGAAAAACTGTCTCTTAAATGTAACTTATCTGTATTGAAATGTCTCAATCTCTATTTTCCAGGTAGATGCCCTGGCTGGTCTCCCCCTGCTGGACGTTCTAAACTTAGAAGCCAACAGCTTACCCATATCCTCGTGTGCTTTCCCATTTCACATGTTCAGGCACGTGCCAAACCTGAGAACGCTCCTCATTGGCTACAACAGCAAGGTCAAGGGCACGTGGGTCGGCGAAGGTCGGAAAACCCCAGGAACCAGCCCCCAAAGGATGTGTGGCGGGGGGTCTGAGAAATCCCAGTACCAGAGCCACATCGACATCTTCGACGACCTGCCACACTTGGAGACGCTGTCCATTGATTCGTTTAAGACTCTTCTTCTCGGCAGTGAATTCTCCAAGTTTCAGAACTTACAAAATCTGACCTTGTATTGCGTGGTTGTTCAAAAGGCACATAATTTTAGCTTCCAAGGTCTCTCCGTGTCAAATCTTACCTCTTTGTTTCTGGACACGTTCTACGACTACATCGTCCCAATTTTTCCTGAAGGTATTTTCCAACCTGTTCCTAAACTCACGTCGCTCAAAATACACCAATGCAGAATCGGCAACCACAACATTCAGAGGACGATGTGGCCGTTTGAACTCGGACCAATGAAGACGCTTCTGCTGGACGACCTCAAACTGTCGCGGTACAGGGAGTCCCCGACGCTGACCCTCAAAGACGGCATCTTGACCAAGGCGTCCATGTCCCATATCAACAACATCTGTCTCTCCTCCATCGCGCTGACGAACAGTAAGATCTTCAGCTTGGAGCCGGAGGCCATGACGTCGCCGGTGTGGTTGAAATGTCTGAGGCACGTTGACCTGTCGGGCAACGAGCTGGGCTTCTCTGGGTGGCGCGTGGTTTTGTTTCAGATCTCCTGGTTTTTATTTTTGGAAGACGTCACCGTTACGTCACCGGCCACCTCCTACCAACAGGTGCATCCGGATTTTTCGTCTGATCTCGACAAATGCTATCTGAACACCCGTACAGGAAAGCAATGCTCAAATTCTTTCCCCGGATTGAATAATACGCGACTGAAAGAAGATACAAGTTTTTATCTAAAAGACTTTGACAGCAATACAACGTTTTCCCCGAGCAGTTACCAAGTAGTAGCAAAAACAGATGTAGAAACAAACAAAATACCACGCAGAAGTGACCCAACAGGACGAAGTACGGTAAAACGTCGCTCACCAAATGTTCAGCTTTTCAACTCGTCTTCGTATTTTTCCGACGTACCCCTCCCCATCGTGTGGATACGAATGCCGAAATCCATAAGAACAATCCGCATTGCATCCATCACGATCCAGTCTTTCGTTCACTACGTCACCAACTGGGTTCTCCTAGACAGCGACCACTTCTCGGAACTCTACGCCATAAACATACCCCAGTTTTGCTACAGCCGTGGAAGGCTGTTGGGATTAAACAACTTGAGAATCCTCGACGTCTCCGGCTCAATGATGGACGTCGGGGAACATTTTTACGATGATTTCTCTAACCTTGAAGTGTTGGTCCTGAGCTCCATACTGCCGGCCAACTACTTTGATAAGATTGTTTCCTGTAAACGTCTACTGAGAAACCTAACGAGGCTGAACTACTTGGACATTTCGACCAATGGGCTGACGCGGCTCTCGCCCGACACGTTTGAGACCACTCCAGCGTTATCGCACCTGGTGCTGGCCAACAACCGGTTTTCGTCCATACCTTTGGATCTGACGACGACGCCGCGCCTCCGGGTGCTAGATCTTTCCCAGAACGCCATTTTGTTTCTGAGTAAATCCGAAATAACCGCACTCGATGATCACGCCAGCAAGGTTCCACACTTCCTGCTCAAACTTGACGGGAATGGCCTTGTTTGTGTTTGTTCGGTGTTGAACTTCTTAGGTAAACATCTAAGTGTTGCCTTCCAACGTTCTGATGGTTTTAGTGTCGGGGGAAAAGGGGAGGGGGGGAGGTGTGGGGGGGGGGGAAAGGGGGGGGGGGGGGGGGGGGGGGGAGGGGGTAGTTTTTTTTTACGGGTTGCATTTTTTCTTCTTCAAATGTTGATTGTTTTTGATCATTGAACTTTGGTCGGCAAACTTATTAGTCAAAAGAGCCAAAAATGGTAGACCTGATGTCACGAAGACAGTGACAGACTTACTGTCACAAAGACAATGGTAGACCTTATGTCACACAGAAAAAGATAGACACGATGCCACACAGACGATGGCAGACCTTAAGATGACCCATCACATCAAATCTATAGAGTATTTTTTTAATAAATGTTTCTAAATCATGCGAACTGATTCACTTTTCATTAAAAACAACGCCAACATAAAAATTTATTTTAAAAAACTCTCTCACTCACAATTTTTGGAAAAAAATCTCAAATCATACTGATAGCATTCTCTACAGCACGTCACTGATCTCAAACCATACTGATAGCATTCCCTACATCACGTCACTGATCTCAAACCATACTGATAGCATTCCCTACATCACGTCACTGATCTCAAACCATACTGATAGCATTCCCTACATCACGTCACTGATCTCAAATCATACTGATGGCATTCCCTACTGCACGTCACTGATCTCAAACCATACTGATAGCATTTATTATTTTATTTATTTGTGTACATTTGAGTACGTAAGTTTGCTGTACAACAAAAAAGCCATTGACCACCGAATTGCTCAAGTACAAATGTACGCATATCCTTTGTGTATAAATATTTTTTGTACGGTACAAATCGTCTTTATGTGCATTCCTACCAAATAGATCATTTAAAGTTGTGCATTATGTAGAAAATTTCTGTGTACAAGTGTAGATCAGGTAAACAAATTTTGTATACACGTGTGGATTGTGTACACATAGGCCATGTACAAGCATTTGTTATACACAGATGGTTGTGTACAAGCGTTTATTGTGATCAGATAGGTTGTGTACACGAGTGGATTGTTAATCCTATGACGTTTATTGCTCCTCAGCCTGGCTGACAGTGTCCCCAGTTCAGTTTGACAATAATGGCGACTATCAATGTACGTCACAGAAAGGACAACTGACTACAACGGCTGCCTTCTCTGACATCGAGGCTCTATGGAGGCAATGTGAAGGGAGGTAATGTGAAGGGAGGTCATTGAAGAGCAGTCATGTGAAGGGAGGTCATGTGAGGGAAGGTCATGTTAGGGAATGTCATGTTATGGGAGGTGGTGTGAAAGGAGGTAATGTAAAGGGAGGTTATGTAAGGGAAGGTAGTGTGAGCTTTCTCAGGTCGAATGTCTAGGGAGGTAGAGTGAGGTCAGGTAAAGAATGGTAATCTTGGCATTCCGTTACATGCAGGGTATGTGGATGATATGAGATGGGAGGTAAGGGGATGTAATATGTGCATTCTCAGGTCTAAGGAGACAATGTAAGGGGAGGTAATATGTGCATTCTCAGGTCTAAGGAGACAATGTAAGGGGAGGTAATATGTGCATTCTCAAGTCTAAGGAGACAATGTAAGGGGAGGTAATATGTGCATTCTCAGGTCTAAGGAGACAATGTAAGGGGAGGTAATACACACTAGGTCTGATCTCAAACGCCTTTATTTCGTCAGCCGGCACATTTCGTGCACAAGAAAGAAAGAGTTTATTCCCCTGACATACAATCTTAAATTGTAGATGTGGCCATGCTGAGACAAAAATAAATTAGTAATACAGCGAAGTTGAACTTTAAAGTCAGGGCAGACCAGACCAACTTTTCGGTCTCTATGAAAATACGAATTAGAAAAAAAAAAAAAAAATCTTTTTACCACCTTGACAACAAAAGTAAGTTCATTTTTCAAAATCCAATATTATTTTCCACAGCACATCTTTCTTGACCAGCCTCGTTCTGGCATCACTGATGGCCCTGAGCTTCTTCGCTGTGTTCTTCATTGGCCGTTTCAAGACGGCCATCATCGCCGTGGTGCTGAACATTGTGGCCCCCCAGTTCCGAGCCAAGACTCCAGGAGATTATAAGATGACAGTGTTTATTGGATACGCTGATGACGACTTCAGATACGTCCGAAACATTTTACTGGAGTAAGTCAGAGAGCTAATAATTAGCAGACGATATTACAGTGAGTAGGCGCCGGAGATACGTTCCCATGGACCCGCACATAGCAAATACGGTATATGCAACCATCAGCACCTGTACATAGTAAATACGGTATATGCAACCATCAGCACCTGTACACAGTAAATACGGTATATGCAACCATCAGCACCTGCACATAGTAAATACGGTATATGCAACCATCAGCACCTGCACATAGTAAATACGGTATATGCAACCATCAGCACCTGTACATAGTAAATACGGTATATGCAACCATCAGTACCGGTACATAGTAAATACGGTATATGCAACCATCAGCACCTGTACATAGTAAATACGGTATATGCAACCATCAGCACCTGCACATAGTAAATACGGTATATGCAACCATCAGTACCGGTACATAGTAAATACGGTATATGCAACCATCAGTACCAGTACATAGTAAATACGGTATATGCAACCATCAGCACCTGTACATAGTAAATACGGTATATGCAACCATCAGCACCAGTACATAGTAAATACGGTATATGCAACCATCAGTACCAGTACATAGTAAATACGGTATATGCAACCATCAGCACCTGTACATAGTAAATACGGTATATGCAACCATCAGTACCGGTACATAGCAAATACGGTATATGCAACCATCAGCACCTGCACATAGTAAAGATTCATTCTTTTCTTTACTTACGGACATATCTGATTTTATACAGAACTTTTTTGGTGTGTGTGTGTGTGGGAGGGGGGGGGTGAATTCTTGACAACCAACTCTGTTGCTACGTTCACTTGACCACAGAAAAAGAAACATTCACAAAAACACTGATTTCAGGGAACTAGGAAAATCAAAGAGTTCCCGGAAATGCTCCCGTCGAAATGGTTCCTTGACTTCAGATGACCACCATCCTACTAAACGTTGCTGATAGTTCATTAAAATTTGAAATAGATTCTATTATTAGGTTTGGTTTTTTGCAACATAAATCCAAATAGACTCAGCTCTATGGTCTCAATATGAATCCTATTAGTTTAGATTCGGGTCTATAGTCTCAAAATGTGTCCGAATAGATTTACTTCCATGGTCTCAATATGAATCCAAAAAGATTCGGCTCTATGGTCTCATGAATCCTAATAGATTCAGCTCTATGGTCTCAATATAAATCCCAATAGATTCAGCTATATGGTCTCAATATGAATCCTAATAGATTCAGCTCTATGGTCTCAATATGAATCCTAATAGTTTAAGCTCTAAAGCCTTAATAGGAATCCAAATAAATTCAGGTCTCTGGTCTCAATATGAATTCTTATAAATTCAGGTCTATGGTCTCAATATGAATTCTTATAAATTCAGGTCTATGGTCTCAATATGAATTCTTATAAATTCAGGTCTATGGTCTCAATATGAATTCTTATAAATTCAGGTCTATGGTCTCAATATGAATTCTTATAAATTCAGGTCTATGGTCTCAATATGAATTCTTATAAATTCAGGTCTATGGTCTCAATATGAATTCTTATAAATTCAGGTCTATGGTCTCAATATGAATTCTTATAAATTCAGGTCTATGGTCTCAATATGAATTCTTATAAATTCAGGTCTATGGTCTCAATATGAATTCTTATAAATTCAGGTCTATGGTCTCAATATGAATTCTTATAAATTCAGGTCTATGGTCTCAATATGAATTCTAATAAATTCAGGTCTATGGTCTCAATATGAATCCTAATAGTTTAAGCTCTAAAGCCTTAATAGGAATCCAAATAGATTCAGCTCGTTGGTCTCAATATTAAGCCTAATAGATTCAGCTCTATGGTCTCCTTATGAATCCCAATAGATTCAGCTCTATGGTCTCATTATGAATCCCAATAGATTCAGTTCTATGGTCTCAATATGAATCCAAATAGATTCAGCTATATGGCCTCAATATCAATTCTTATAGATTAATGTCTATGGTCTCAATATGAATCGTAATAGATTAGCCCTATGGCCTCAATATGAATTCCTAGAGATTCAGGTCTATGGTCTCAATATGAATCTTAATAGAATCAGCTCTATGGTCTCAATATGAATCCCAATAGATTCAGCTCTATGGGCTCAATATGAATTCTTATAGATTCAGGTCTATGGTCTCAATATGAATCCTAATAGATTCAGCTCTTAGGACATAAAAGATTCAGCAATATGGTCTAAACATCAGTCCCTTGAGCATTATGTCCAATATTTGCTCTTCATCTCTGACTTTGTTCCATGTTCAACCGGCGGTTCCAGTCATGGAACATTAAGTTCCCAACTCATACTACTACCATAGTCAGGGAATGCACAGTCCCCATATCGGGTGTTGGTCAAATATGAAACTCTGCACTATTATATTTATACCGGTACCGGCAATGGATTCGTTAGTTTGTTTGCTTTTTATAAATTAAAAAATCTTGACATTGCTAGAAATTTATTTTAAAAAAAAACAAAAAAAACAAAGTTTTTCCTATACTGCGTCAATCCTTTACATGTATTTTTTTTTAACCCGGTATTAGAATAATAATATAAAATAATATTTATTTCACCAACTATGTCAGAAAAACAGAAGAAAATATTACGCACCAAACGCACTTGCGATATTTAAAAAAAAATAATAATAATCGCAGTTAAAAGGAATTTTATTTTGTGAATTTTAGTGTCATCATACTTCCTTCATCTTCCTCATGAAAAACGGGGGGGGGGGGAAGGAGGAATGATTTTAGCGGGTTAAGGTTGGAGGGTGGGACTGAAATTTGATAAACTTTGTTGTCATCGGGAGCGAGTCTTTGTGCCAAGTTTCAGCTCGATAGGTTGACGGAAAGTGGGTCGAATAGCCATCGGAAGATAATGCCAGCCACCCAGCTAAGAACAAAATTCAAGTTAATAATGGAGGGTTTTAAAAATTAGCGGCAATCTCCGGGAAAAGATTTTTCATACAACAAATTGTCTTCTCTTAGTTACGTGGAAGGAGCGCTTCATTCAACGACCTTCATCCATCAGCGTGACCTTGGCACTGGCTACACAGACCAGCTGTTCTTCGAAGCCATGCAAGACAGCTGGCGCATTTTACTGGTCATCACCGGCAACTTCCTTGACAAATACAACATGTCAAATATTGTTATGAAGGTAAGGGTCTACGCTACGTAACAGATAATTATGTATCTGACATGAAAAATTATTCTGTAAGACATGACAAATTGTTCTGTAAGACATGACAAATTATTCTGTAAGACATGACAAATTATTACGTATGACATGACAAATTATTATTTATGAAAGGACAATTTATTCTGTATGACATGACACATTATTCTGTGCGATATGACAAACTATTCTGTATCTGACATGTCAAAATATTCTGTGTCTGACGTGACACACTATTGATTCTGTATCTGACATCTCATTCTATTCTGTTTGTTGTAGACATTCTTAAAAAGTTTTGTTTTGTTAAAGTCAACGCTGTATTTTACACGGTGGTTTAACACAGGCAAAATTAACAGTAGGTTATGCATGAGGTGTTCTTTTAATTTTAAATAGGTCTCAAAAGATTTTCTTGCAAATCTTTGCCCAGATTGAAGTCTAATTCATCTTCATCTACTCATTTGATATGTAAAACTGATGAAGTGAAATTGTTCCGTCTCCAGTACGCCAGCCACTCCGTCAGTCCAGTCAACCAGGGGCGTGTCTTCATCCTGGTGGAGGAGTCGCAGCTCCACAAGATCCCCTCCTACCTGCACGACGTGTTGGACGAATCCAGAATATTAACAGTCAGTGACCTTGACCTTCCTCTCACTTACAAGTTGCGTCAGAGCATTAAGAGATGCCTAGAGTCTCATCAGTGATGACAAGTACCTCAACATCAGTGATGACAAGTACCTCAACATCAGTGACGACGTGTACCTCAACATCAGTGACGACAAGTACCTCAACATCAGTGACGACAAGTACCTCAACATCAGTGACGACAAGTACCTCAACATCAGTGACGACAAGTAACTCAACATCAGTGATGACAAGTATCTCAACATCAGTGACGACAAGTGCCTCAACGACATTTTATGCCAAACAAAGCATCACACACACACTGCCAGGGGCGTTAAATCTCACATCATTCATGGAACGATTTTAAATATCTGTTGTAAATATTTGTTCATGAAATGATTTAAAATATTTGTTCATGTAACAATTTAAAATATTTGTTCATGAAATGATTTAAAATATTTGTTCATGATATAATTTAAAATGTTTGTTCATGAAATGATTTAAAATATTTGTTCATGAAATGATTTAAAATATTTGTTCATGAAATGATTTTAAATATGTGTTCATGAAATAAACATAACAAATTTATAACTATAATTGAGCTTACGTTTTAACTATTTTTAAAGTTATCCTACATCTCAAGCCATGCAATGTGTTCTGCTTGTTATCATGGAGAACTAAAAATGTTGTCTACAGTTTGAATTGGCCTCAGTTAAACGCAGAACCTTATTTTGTTAACAACACATATCAAAGGACCTAAAATACTCACAATTTTTAATACTGTCTGGACTAGTTAATGTTCTAATCTAGTGGCTTCAGTGTCCTGTGCCACTAATTAATTCTATGATCTAATGCCTACAGTACCATAGACCACAAGTTAATGCTCTGATCTAATGCCTACAATGTCACTGGCCACAAGTTAATGTTCTCATCTAATGCCTACAATGTCATTGGCCACAAATTATTGTTCTGATCTAATGCCTACAATGTCATTGGCCACAAATTATTGTTCTGATCAAATGCCTACAGTGTCAACTAGTTAAAGTTCTGATCTAATGCCTACAATGTCATAAGCAAAAGATTTCAAATTTGTCCAACTTAAAAAGTTAATAACGGTACCTATTAAAATGAGGACTATGAATTACACAAGAAACAAAATTTCTTGATCTGGAAACAATAAATTTAGAAAACAAAAAACAATAAATAAAGGTTAACATGAAGAATAAAAATGGTTTATTTGAATCATGCTAGTTTTTATGTACCATACCATACCATTTTGATAATGCCAACATTTTGACATGAATTTACTGTGCACTTTTACATATATGCTTTGTTAATGTTTATAAATATCATTAAACCTACAAAAATATTTGTTTTTCAGTTTGGTATGTTACTCTTGGTCCATATCAATCGTAAATTAAATTGGTACCGTAGGAATAATAGAGAAAATAGATATTGAAAATAAATGACGATGCTTTGTTTAGAAAGAAAAATTTCAATCTGAATGATTTGTTGATCATAGAGCCAATCGGTGTCTCAATAAAACACACTGTCTGGCTTAGCATCACTATAGAGCCAACTGGCTTCTCAGTAAAATACACTGCCCAGCTTAGCGTCATAGTACAGTCTAATGGCTTCTCAATAAAATACAATGTCTGGCTTAGCTTGATGCCCATTATCACACTAATACACTAATGCTAGTCCAATACTAATGCCATTTGTCAAATGCTTTTAACAAACATTGTAAAGATCTGTTAAGAAAATTTAACATGCCTCACTTTGTTTTACATGAAATAGTGTGCACAAATTTTTGTGTGATTAATACCTCAACAGTGAAATCAATGCCATTATTTTGAGAACATCTGAGACAGATTAAGCCCCGACTTCAATATAAAATGAGAACCCTCTTAGCCCCAAGTAACAAATGGTGAAGTTAAAATACTTTCTTTGCTTGGTGGTAGTAAAGATGGAGGCAGGCTCGGAAAGACAGTCAGGCATTCAGCAAGTTTATAATCTGGAACTTTCAGTTCACATTCTGGCTTCTTCACATTTGTCTCCTTGTCGGAAGACTCAAATTTTTTTCTCTGCTTCCTGTTGTCCAACCATTGGTGAAGCTTGTCTCTGACGTCTGTGGGTGTACTGACCGCTTGCCCGAGTCCAGACCGCTCTTCCTTCTGTTTAAGGATCTGAGATAGTTGCATTCGGTCCTCATTGGTTAAATGTGAAAACTGACATCTGTCACCAAATTTACATTGTCCTGAAACATAAACGGAGTTATTTGTAACAATAATAATATCAAATCAGAATCTCAGTTTTCCAGGTGATGACAAATAGAGGGAATGTATTTTTTACATCAACATAACACTTGAAGTCCTTTCACTATCCCAAGATCTCTTTTATCACTTAGCCAATAGATTCTGAGATACATCTACATAGCTTATAAAACTATGGCTAAATTAACTTTTCAAACAGGTTCCGTTTCTTAAGGGGGTGGGGATGACAAATAAATATTTTATGAATCGCTGCTTAAATTTTCATCATACTCAGTGCCATTATAAACATTGATTCTGCATAGCATAATAAAAATTCCTAAACGTTTAAATGTTTTAATTGTACATAAAAATATCAATGCCTTTATAAGTGCTTAACTGTGAAAACTGTACTCAGTAGACCTATCTTCCACCAGAAAATCAATAACACGGAGGGAGGAGGGGGGGGGTGTAACATGTCCATGTTCCTAAATAGAGATTGACCAAAGCTTCTGTTTAGCCTAATCATGTTATTATACCGATTCATTTAACTAAAGAAACAAGATTTTTTAAATGTTTTAATTGTACATAAAAATATCAATGCCTTTATAAGTGCTTAACTGTGAAAACTGTACTCAGTAGACCTATCTTCCACCAGAAAATCAATAACACGGAGGGAGGAGGGGGGGGGGGGTGTAACATGACCATGTTCCTAAATAGAGATTGACCAAAGCTTCTGTTAAGCCTAATCATGTTATTATACCGATTCATTTAACTAAAGAAACAAGATTTTTTTAAATATGCAGTAAAACTTTTATTAGGTAATTATATACATATTTAGACCTATGACTATAACTATATTTTAATTAATAGCTTTAATAGTAATAATTAGCACACACAAAAGTGTTACAATAAAATTATTTCTCAGCCGGATTTTATTTTTCATATGTGCACATATCACTTTTTCAAAAATGAAGAAGGGTGTAATTTATTCCACCTAGTGTAATTTATTCCACCTAGTATCATACATCTATCTTTATTAGGTATATGTTATAAATTATAATTATATAGCAATATAGAACTCTAACTTTTATAACGGCAGCATTTTGAAACTCTTCTATAGCTTTGATGGCATCTCCAAAATCTTTGAAAGTATCAAAACAAGCATAGCAATTTAAAGCTGAAATTCTTTCAGGAATCATTATCGATCCGGCTGTGGTGTTGATACTGGTACGAGCTAGTAATAAATGAACAGTACAGGGCAATATGCGTGATTGAAAGCAGGTTTTTAAAGTTCCGTTTTCTGTTTGATTTGAGTGGCTGGAATACCAATAGCTCTCTAAAAGCTACTGGTAGTAAACTACCAAGAGACACTTTCTTCAAATATTCATCCCCATAAATGTGTGCATGGAAGCAATGCACTCTTCGGCAATCCTCCGAAATCCGGTACCAAATTTTTTCCAATGATTACTCCTAACTTAAAAGTCTTAGGCATCATTTTGTTTTGAAATTCATGTTTGCGGTAGTGGACGATGTTGGATGGAGGTTGTTTGCCGTCGAGATGTACAAACACTCGAGCGCATTATCAATAATTATGTATTACCAGGGATAACTATCGCCACGGACGCTTTGCAAGGATATCAAAATGTCGGTCAGCTCAACAACAGGATATATGATCACGCCGTCACTGTGCACGTGCGTGAATTTGTTGATCCAGTAGACCAGGACATTCACACATAAACTATTAAAGGACTTTTGATGCAAACGAAACGTAAACTATCAGAGTGCTACTAGTTGCGGTCTATTTGCCAGCTAATTGGGGGCCTTTCATTGATGCAACAGTCACAAGCAGAACGTTTTTGGCTGCTATTTGCAAATGCTATCGCCAATTAAAACATTTAGTATTTATTTACTGACTGGTTTGTAAAGTCAGTTATTTGCAAAAGTAATGACTGACATTTTATGCAGTTTTCTAACAATACACACTGCATTACCCCATTTTTTTTCATACGAAATAATTTTGGATTGGACTTTGGAGGATTGCCCACTCTTCTACTCATGGCTCATGCCTCATGGCCATTTCATATTCATGTCATGGTATTAGTATTAAAGGGCTTTAAAGTAAGGGCACTTTGCGCTCTACACAACACCTGCCTGTTTTAAGACTAAAGAATATACACTAGAATTAAAAGCCTATAGCCTAAAACAAACTTAAAGATAAGATAAAACGTTACATTTACCCGTTGATAAAAAAGCTCGACATGGCTTTTTGTTTTGGTCTTCCTCTAGTATTTCTTTCTCGTTTCTGTAAGCGTCGTAGTGAAGTTTCTTAGTTAATAAATGTGCATTGCCGGTCAAATGAACTTTCCTACTGGTGGGGTTGTCGGCAAATGATTTATCACAATAGTCACAGTAGTATCGTTTTCCCATTATAAATATTTTAAATATTAAATTGCTTCTCAAACCAATTTAAACTACTTGTACTTAAATAATTCTACTATTGAATAGTAACTCTCTTGTACTGGAAAGAATAATAAAACAATATTTTAAAATTAGCCATGTAGTAAACTAGTAGTAGAAAAACTAGTATTTTTCAAAATAACCCAGGTTTGATCTAGCAATTTCCCAGGATTTCAACATTTATAATATGGTTTAATAAAATATTTATATTGGAGTATTTGAACGTTAGTGCAAAAATGGGCGAAGGTGGCACAGGCTTCGTGTGCTTAATTCGGAATAGTGAAATCTTGTGAACGTAATTTACATGGAAATATTACTTTTTTTTTCTAATTTTCATGTAGTTAGTTACAACTGCATTAACTTTATAAGCCTAACGGAAAACTGACGGGAATGGTCCCTGGGCTTGTTCTTAAAGTGCGTCGCTTCACACTCCGAAAGCGGTAGGGGCACAAAGAAAGAGTGAAAGTTTGGGACACAGGGTGAGTGTGGAGGCCCCGTGGAGGGCAAAGAGTGTGGATGACGTCATGCTTTCCTTTCAATTATGCAAATAAAACCTAACATTGACAAGGATGCTGAACTTTCTGTTGTCATGGATGTGTGCTGACAGAAGAATTCACTTTATCAATTCAATAGTTTAATAGTCAGTAGCTTACTACTAGTACTAAGCTGCTTAGGATTTAGATTAAATGTAAGTTGTTGATTTTTAAATAATTGTTCAATTGGAAAGTGTGAAGTACTTGAGGAGGGGGTGTCTGCGCTTTGAGACAGACTATGACAGCCGGAGGGAGGGTGAGGAGGGGGTGTCTGCGCTTTGAGACAGACTATGACAGCGGGAGGGAGGGGATACGTTTTTACTAAAGCTGTTCTGAACAATGAGCTACATAGACACTGACATTGAGACTGACATTGGGCTTGGCACTGACATTGGAATTGACATTGACACTGACATTGACTTTGAAGATCTTCAAAAACATAAGTTTTATTTTTTATTTAAATTTATCGGTTGTTTATTATTGTATTGTCTGCTGACGAATGCATCGAGCCGAAACGTCCGCTTAATTGTCTTGTCATTTCTCTTTAAGCCTGACTATCTTGCTACACTATTTAATTCTTTACATGGCTTGAACGCAGTCCAGTCGTATATTAACTTCTATTTTAGCCAACTAAAATATATACATTATCCATGCATTTTTACTATTTAAAAAAAACGATTAAATTATTTTAACACTAGATTAACATTGTAATTAAACATCATTTTCATTGAAACCACTTCCAGTCGCTCTCAGAAACAGCCAGACACTGGAGTCCTTTAAACCCGATTTAAAAACACATCTATTTCGCAAACACCGTCTGGGGTGATGCAATCTACAATCTTTTTCAGTTAATGTATATTGGCTTGAGTTGCTTATGGTTGAAATGGGATGAAAGACTTTGACTTGGTATGCTCGCATGTAGTTTTTATATTGTTGCGTCTGTTTTTAAATGTGGTAAATTTTAGATTGTTTTTATTTCTCTTTTTAATATGGTTGACTTTGTACCGCGCTACGAGCTTTAGGGGATGAAGCGTGTTTTTCAAATAAACTTTATTATTATTATTATTATTATTATTATTCATATTGTAATGAGTGACCATTTCATACACTGTTAAATAATTTACAGTTTAAATGAGGGGAAAACGATACAGCTAAATTTAAACATTTTTGTGCAGCTGTGATTGTAAATAAATGTATCGCCGCAGTTAACGATCTGATCAGGTAAGTTAAAAAGTTTAAACAAATTCCCCCAAATAGTGAACGAAATATTGTTCCCATTCCTTTACATCTTTTTGTTTCTTTCTTTCACAATAAATGTTTTTCTCAAAAAATGAAATTTCCCAAGGTTTCGTTGGGTTTTCAAAATTATTCCCCAAATCCCTAGAAAAGTAATGAACTCCTCTGATCTGGGGTAAATTCCCAATGTCTGGTAGCACTTATTAGCTCTCCACTTTACGAAGTTTTATATGAAATCTTTAAAGCAAAGTTATTTCCCTTCTCAGAGTCAAGACGATCTTCAATACCATCTGCGTATTATTTGCGCATCGAGTTAGTTTAAAATTTTGATACTTTGCCATAAGTAACACAAGATTGATAATTGATCTCCAGAGAATTACACGTAAATGTTGTTTTAAAAGTCATTTTCAAAATTTTCTTCTCATTGCTTGTCTTCAAAAGTGTTAAAAACCAATTGTCGATACTGATACTCTTATTTTGAAAAAAAAAATTTTTAAACGTCAGACTGTATACTAAGAGTGAAGAGTCTAAGAGCCTTCTTGTCGTACTTCTGTTTGTTCTGTTCACCGAAGAAGGCTCTAAGCCAAAACGTTCACATCTTATTGTCCCGTCTTTTGATTCAGGCTTCAACATACTTTGTTTTACAATTTCCCTATTTAATTTACGCAAAGCAGGACATTTATTTAGTGTAGGTACTTTGGTAAAAAAAAATTAAATGTTGTAAAAATAAACCTATGGCATAGTTGAATAGAGCTATGTTTTTACAGATTTATAACACCAAAGCTATATAAATCTCGTTTTAAATTATAATTTTATATGACTTTTATTTTCAGAACTAATGCTGTACTGTACTGTATTAAAAATAATTTTAATAATGTTATACAATTATAAATAAATTATAATTTATCTAACTATGCACTATGTATATCAGTAAATTTAAAATAATGTATTAATATATGGCTTTTCTGTTTACTAAATCTACAGCCTTCATTATACCGGTATATGCTATATAGTCTATAGGCCTATAAGTTTGAGGCAATAAGGCAACACACCCCCTAAAATACTGTTTGGGATCTACTTATTTTGAACTTTCAACTTTGGCACATGACTAATAAATTTAAGCTTTCCCTGATCAATGGTTTAATAGTTTTTGCACACGGCAAACTCTTAAGAATGAAACTCTGAGTTAGTACTATGGTATAGCGGAGTATAGCCATTATATGCCAGTGGCTGTGAATGTTTGCCCATGATGTTTTGCACACAGAGAATTCTGATCGTTAATAATATGGACTCTACCGGGTTTTTAAAGCTCAAATTAAAATATTCTAGTTTAAATGACTTCAAAATGCATTCTGAAACACAAGTTATCAAGTTTTCCGCATTTTAAAGGAGGCGTGATCACTAATCCAATATGGTCTGTGCAACCTTTGCATAATAAGGTCAATGTTGAGGAGAATTGTGAAAATGTTTAATGAGCTATCTCAATGAAATTTTGCACACATGTACTTCAATAAATTATGCAGGCCTACATTTAATATGAAAGACCTACTTTGAATATTTAGACCAAATTTTTTAATGCAAAGATGCCTTATATTGACTTACGATTTTCCTCACTTAAAGTTGATATAAAGAACAAATAAACTCAATGGGAATGTAGGTCAACATTTCTCCGACTGTGAATGGGCGGAGTCAGACCTTAATTATGGGCCAAAAGGACTACTGTTTTATTCAAATTGCATGCACACAAAAAATTAAAAACTCTGATTCTTTTGCGCCGACGCCCATTTTCAATACAAATTTACTAGGAGTGTCCGTTGCTTTGGCGAAGTACCTAGACACAGCTTGAGCAGTCCTTCAATTATTTTCTTTTTGTTTAAATTTAACAAGGAACCTATCCAGTGACACATGCTTTTTGCCTTATTTTTTAAAATTTAGCGGAAATGAGACACTGCATTGACATTTAAATCTGTTGTAGTGTACCCATAACAAAAATTGTCATAACTTTAACAAAGATTGTCATAATAACTTATGTTGTTTTTATAATTAAGATTTCAAATGTAATATATTTTATTTCACAAATAAATGTGAACAGTTGACATTTTTAATGAGCAATAATTTAGAATTCATTCTGTTAATTCTAGTATTTTCATCTTCTTAGATTCACTTGAGTGAACTCATCTTACCACCATGATTATTCCCATACGATGCTTCACCTGTGGCAAAGTTATTGGAAATAAATGGGAGGCATACATTGGCCTGCTTCAAGTTGAATACACAGAAGGGTAAGTAGATGTCATAAGTGGGGATGGCACAGACAGCTCCACTAGAGTAGAAATAAAAGGAATAGCTAGCATAGGGCATACTAAGGATGAACTTATACTTATTGAATAAAAACCTTTCTTATTAAGTTCTTCTCTAAAATTGTGTGTGATTTTCTAGATTGCAAGCTATAGTATATAATTGTCCTAATCACATACTTTTGGAAGTATCGGAACATTAAATATTTCAGAAAATATCACCACGTGCTGTTTAATTTGTTTTAATTCTTATAATCATGATAAATTCACCATTTCAACCACATGTGGCATATACATTCTGGGTTTTATTTTGTTCAAATGTCTGACATCTTTTGTCCACACATGTCCACACATGTGTGTGGTGAACTCATCCAAGATTCTTTTGTGAGATGTATCACAGTATCTCTTAGTATTTTATTCCATACATATATGATGACAGTAAGAAATAATAAATATAGGGAGTGGAAAACCTGGAAGAAGATGAAACAAAACAACGAACATGTCTGCAAAATGCCAACTTGTACTACCTAAAACAATAGCAATACCTGTACCCATAAACAATGACAAAGAACTAAGCTGATGCTCAGTGATGGCCAAGGGCAATCTCATTTGTTATTTCGTATTCCCCTAAACTATGATTCATAATGCCCTAGCCTATCTTTCATATTTCCTATTACCTACAAACAGTGATGATGTTATGGTTTATCTATATACACATAAAAATGTTGCCTTTGAGTAGTATTATTCCCATCATGAACTATTTTCAATCTATATACTCTATTGGTGCCTCTTTTTTTGTGGGTGTTACCCTTCTAAAAGAAGAAGTTCTATAGCCATACAACTGCAGTACACACTATACAACTGCTGTACACACTATACAACTGCAGTACACACTATACAACTGCTGTACACACTACACAACTGCCATACACACTACACAACTGCCGAACACACTATAACTATAAAACTGACGTACACACGTTTTGATTCCTAAAGGATGCTCAAACTATTTCCTTCCCTTAGTGCAAGTGTTGAAATCTATTTAAAGTGATTACCAACGATGAATGTCACTACATATCAACTTAGCAAATACCCATGTGATATGAAATGCCATATTATTATTATGAGCTTTTTTATAGGTAGTTGCCTACCTACCATATTATGTCCTACCATATTATGTCCTGGAAAGAGGTCCATGGTTTTCAAAAAAAAAATTGCTTTGTTTTTTTCATTCACCAATGACATGCTTGTTCATGCACAAACCACTATTTGTTGCAGTGGAGGTAGTTTGTTGTTTAACTTTAGAATTCCCTTATAAACACAAAGTGTTTAAATAACTCTGGAAAAGGATCAAGTTTATTATTTTGTCAGTTTCCTAAGCAATGGGGACATGTGATGAAAAAAACAAAAAAAACATGTGTTCCAATTTTTTCCCTTAACATTTCTTGCATTGGAGACTTGAACATTTTTTTACCCTGTATTATTTTTTTTAAATTTTCAGTGATGCACTTGATGCGTTAGGGTTGAAACGCTACTGCTGTCGCCGTATGCTTTTATCTCATGTTGACTTGATCGAGAAACTTCTCAATTATGCTCCGCTTGAGAAGAGTGATGCCAAATGATGTTTTGTTTTCTCAAATGACATTGTTATAAATATTTGTACATACGCCAACTGATGGAAATTCTTGTACATAAGCCAACTCATTGAACTTCTTGTATGGTTCATTAGGGAAATTAGGGAACATTTTTGATTGAATAGTTATGTAGGATTCCTAGTTGAGTTTTAGGAGAAATGTACTTTTCAATTACAAATAAACCTGGCAATGTCAATAATTAATAATTTCAAACTTATATTAATTATTTATATTTTTAAAACAAACAATTGCCTGACAAAAGTTTGTGAAATTGAAGAATTCATTCTATTTAAAGAATCTCTGAAGAAATCAAATGTAGATCTTTTGACACATCAGTTCATTTCTTGATAAGATCAGGTCTACCATTAATTTATGTCCTCATGCATCAATGGGATGGGAATATGGCTTAGTTGCAGGCTTGCGGACAGAAAATTGCAGGTCCATAAATATTGGTGTTTAGGACCCCACCTTCCAAAACAAAAAAATCTGGTAAAAAGATATAAGTATTACTTCACCATGTCCTCAAACTTTAAGACAAGGGAATATATTTCCCTGGGCATTTGATGCCTCAAAGTCTTTTTGTTTGTATTGTTCAATTAATTATAAATATAGGATTATAGTTTAAAATGTTCCAGTTCTATTTGCATTTGGTTTCTTATCTTTGGCTACATATCTCGGGAGGAAGAGGACACTTGCCTAAAAGTACAATAATTGTCAACTCATGTTTGCCTGGGGGAATGCTGTGTTTCTTATTGATGCTTTGTTTGTTCAAACATACACACACATACACCTCATTCCATGAAATGTAAATAAAAAATCGGTTAAACTTTTTTTTTAAACTGCTATTTGTTGTTTCTTTTGTCATCTGTTGTTTATTTTGTCATCTTTTGGTGTTTATATTTTTTTTTTGGGGGGTGGGTAAATGAAGTAAATAAAGGACAGGTGTTTTGGCCAGAATTTTATCCATTGACATAACTGCTGCTTAATAAATGATACATCACATATCGGTACAATTAATGCAACAAAAAAAATGCACATAATGGATTTATATGAAAAGCATTTTTTAAAGGGATTTTTGAAAGTTTAATCTGAATCGCATTCAAGATGTAAAATAATTTTAGCTGTCCTTTTTGTGATGGAAAATGTTTTGGAAGTTTTAAAAAATTATTTAGTAATTAAGTTAACCTCAAAAATAGTTTTAATAAAAGATGAAAACACATTACTAAATACTATGTTGTAGTAATATGAAAAAAATTATTTGTATTACATAACTAGGTCAAGCAGAGCCATCGCTTGACTTTTCGAGGCCCCCTGCCAGTTTTATTTTTATTTCCCTTCCCCCACTTTATTAACCTATTTGATAACTAAAAAAAAGGTGTCCACGGCATAAATACAAGTCCCTAAAATATCCGAGGCTCCCTGCAGTTGCAGGGCGCACACCATGGCTCTGAGCTAAAGGGAAACCTCAATTTTTAACTACCATCTCACCATGGCTCTGAGAGAAACCTCAATTTTTAACTAGCATCTCACCATGGCTCTGAGTGAAACATCAATTTTTAACTAACATCTGTCCCGTTACTCTTTGATAAAGCGTAGAGTGATGCCAAAACTAAATTCAGATATGTGCTAAAACAAACCCATTCTTCTTGCATTTTACATTTATCAAAAAGTTTATGTGGACTATACAGTTCTAAGGGGTGAGACTAAGCTGGGGCAAAAAAGCATACTCTCTTAGGCATCAACTAGAATGTTTTAGTTCATGTTGGGCTGGGGGCGGAGTTAGAGATGTCCAAGGTCATTATTCTGGAGCTTCCTACCAGAAGTTGAAAATGGCCCCTCAAATATTGTCTGAAAGAAACATCAAATTCAAGTATGTGCCCTGCAGTTGAATCATCAAATTGAAGTATGTGCCCTGCAGTTGAATTAATAAATTTTTCTGTGGGGATCCCTGTCCCCACTTCTGCTCAAAAGTTTTCGGCACCCTCAATTTCTGCTGCCCTCTTTCCCTCATGCCGATCAAAATGATAGTACTGGGTTGAATCTACACGTGTGCCAAATAGCTACCCTGTGTATATATACTATCATGGTGCTACAGTCTGTGTATATACAATCATGGTGCTACAGTCTGTGTATATACAATCATGGTGCTACAGTCTGTGTATATACAATCATGGTGCTACAGTCTGTGTATATACTATCATGGTGCTACAGTCTGTGTATATACAATCATGGTGCTACAGTCTGTGTATAATTCAGTATACACTACTATTATGGTGCTAAAGTCTGTGTATAATTCAGTATATACTACTATCATGGTGCAAAAGTCGTGTATATACTAATATCATGGTGCTACAGTCTGTGTATATACCACTATCATGGTGCTACAGTCTGTGTTTATACCACAATGGTGCTACAATCTGTGTATATACTATCATGGTGCTACAGTCTGTGTATATACCACAATGGTGCTACAGTCTGTGTATATACAATCATGGTGCTACAGTCTGTGTATATACTATCATGGTGCTACAGTCTGTGTATATACTATCATGGTGCTACAGTCTGTGTATATACTATCATGGTGCTACAGTCTGTGTATATACTATCATGGTGCTGCAGTCTGTGTATATACTATCATGGTGCTACAGTCTGTGTATAATTCAGTATATACTACTATTATGGTGCTACAGTCTGTGTATAATTCAGTATATACTACTATCATGGTGCTAAAGTCTGTGTATATACTAATATCATGGTGCTACAGTCTGTGTATATACCACAAACAATGGTGCTACAGTCTGTGTATATACAATCATGGTGCTACAGTCTGTGTATATACTATCATGGTGCTACAGTTTGTGTATATACTATCATGGTGCTACAGTCTGTGTATATACTATCATGGTGCTACAGTCTGTGTATATACTATCATGGTGCTACAGTCTGTGTATATACTATCATGGTGCTGCAGTCTGTGTATATACTATCATGGTGCTACAGTCTGTGTATAATTCAGTATATACTACTATTATGGTGCTACAGTCTGTGTATAATTCAGTATATACTACTATCATGGTGCTAAAGTCTGTGTATATACTAATATCATGGTGCTACAGTCTGTGTATATACCACTATCATGGTGCTACAGTCTGTGTATATACCACAATGGTGCTACAATCTGTGTATATACTATCATGGTGCTACAGTCTGTGTATATACCACAATGGTGCTACAGTATGTGTATATACTATCATGGTGCTAAAGTCTGTGTATATACCACAATGGTGCTACAGTATGTGTATATACTATCATGGTACTACAGTATGTGTATATACCACAATGGTGCTACAGTATGTGTATATACTATCATGGTACTACAGTATGTGTCTATACTAGTTTAATGTTCTAAAACTAATGACTCGATTGTATTGTTATGCCTACAGCTGTTTGGATCATCTCTATTTCAGTTAAATTTTAACACCTGTGTTAAACTCGTTCATATTGCCCCTCAATTTTCTACGCCCATCCCCCATCTGTAGAAAATATTCAAATTAATATGATTTCTTTTTACGCCATCCATGTAAAATGCGAGAATCATCGTGCTTAAGTCTGATTAGATCCTCGCTGATACCTGAAGCAATTAAACTTTAGGACCTCGATATAATTTTAGTTGAAGACAATGGAGATAAAAACACATTTGTATGAAAGTTTATCTAACATTAACAAGCTTGATAACTCCATTGAGAGATTCACTTGAAACTTTCTCGCAAGTCATTTGTTGATGAGATTCATCTCATGTGCCTACTTCTAACTCCAGGTAGGCATGCATTTAACAAGGGAACTGTTGATAACATGGAGAATGTGTTTCATGAACCGATTTCGATTGGGATAAATTATAAAGTTCTTCTAGGGTAGAGGATTTGGGTCTTTGAGGACACGCCAATTCCTTTGAGATAACATTTTAAATATTTTGAAGTTAAAACAGAGTTATTGAGCATTTCAGTGTTTCAACTGCTCCGAGAATTTCAGTGTTTCAACTGCTCCGAGAATTTCAGTGTTTCAAATGCTCCGACATGACATAGCACTTTACCCAACAGCTATACAAAGACATGTCTCATGACATAGTACTTTACCCAACAGCTATACAAAGACATGTCACATGACATAGCACTTTGACCAACAGCTATACAAAGACATGTCACATGACATAGCACTTGACCCAACAGCTATACAAAGACATGTCACATGACATAGCACTTGACCCAACATCTATACAAAAACTTGTATCATGACATAACACTTTGCCCAACAGCTACACAAAGACATGTCACATGACAGAGCACTTGACCCAACAGCTATACAAACAATGTCAGATAGCAATTAACACTTTTGAGAAAAAAACTTAATGCTGAGAGACGTCACATTGCTTTTCAAAATGTCAGGAATAAAATAGTTGCCTGATAAAACGATTGTCCTCATGCTAGAAGTTAGCCTAACATTTTAACATGGAGAGGCCTCATATAAGAAGTTAGCCTAACATTTTAACATGGAGAGGCCTCATATAAGAAGTTAGCCTAACATTTTAACGTGGAGAGGCCTCATATAAGAAGTTAGCCTAACATTTTAACGTGGAGAGGCCTCATATAAGAAGTTAGCCTAACATTTTAACGTGGAGAGGCCTCATATAAGAAGTTAGCCTAACATTTTAACGTGGAGAGGCCTCATATAAGAAGTTAGCCTAACATTTTAACGTGGAGAGGCCTCATATAAGAAGTTAGCCTAACATTTTAACGTGGAGAGGCCTCATATAAGAAGTTAGCCTAACATTTTAACGTGGAGAGGCCTCATATAAGAAGTTAGCCTAACATTTTAACGTGGAGAGGCCTCATATAAGAAGTTAGCCTAACATTTTAACGTGGAGAGGCCTCATATAAGAAGTTAGCCTAACATTTTAACGTGGAGAGGCCTCATATAAGAAGTTAGCCTAACATTTGAACGTGGAGAGGCCTCATATAAGAAGTTAGCCTAACATTTTAACGTGGAGAGGCCTCATATAAGAAGTTAGCCTAACATTTTAACGTGGAGAGGCCTCATATAAGAAGTTAGCATAACATTTTAACGTGGAGAGGCCTCATATTAGAAGTTAGCCTAACATTTTAACGTGGAGAGGCCTCATATAAGAAGTTAGCCTAACATTTTAACGTGGAGAGGCCTCATATAAGAAGTTAGCCTAACATTTTAAGGTGGAGAGGCCTCATATAAGAAGTTAGCCTAACATTTTAACGTGGAGAGGCCTCATATAAGAAGTTAGAATAATATTTTAACGCAAAGAGGCCTCCTATAAGAATCTAGCATAACATTTTAACGTGTAGAGTTTCATAAGTCAAACTCATTTTTTTCTTTAGTGCTAACAGCCAGATATCCAATGTCCCAAAACTTTCTCCATGTCAACAGCCAGATATCCCATGTCCCAAAACTTTTTCCATGTCAACAGCCAGATATCCCAAGTCCCAAAACTTTCTCCATGTCAACAACCAGATATCTCATAACTTTCTCCATGTCAACAGCCAGATATCCCAAGTCCCAAAACTTTCTCCATGTCAACAGCCAGATATCCCATGTCCCCAAACTTTCTCCATGTCAACAGCCAGATATCCCATGTCCCAAAACTTTCTCCATGTCAACAGCCAGATATCCCATGTCCCAAAACTTTCTCCATGTCAACAGCCAGATATCCCATGTCCCAAAACTTTCTCCATGTCAACAGCCAGATATCCCATGTCCCCAAACTTTCTCCATGTCAACAGCCAGATATCCCATGTCCCCAAATTTTCTCCATGTCAACAGCCAGATATCCCATGTCCCCAAAATTTCTCCATGTCAACAGCCAAATATCCCATGTCCCCAAACTTTCTCCATGCCAACAGCCAGATATCCCATGTTCCCACAAACTTTCTCCATGCCAACAGCCAGATATCACGTCTCAAAATTCACTATTCTGAAACACTTATAATTACGTATATAATTCACAGATTTATATATATATATATATATATATATATATATATATATATATATATATATATATATATATATATATATATATGTGTGTGTGTGTGTGTGTGTTTTACATCATAATAATATTTTTTCTTTTTAAATACAAAGCTTTGGGCATTAATTGCACACTATTTTCTTGATTGGATTTTTTAAAAGATCTGGTTCTGTTTGAGACAACTGTGAGATCATGCAGTCATTTCTTTTAAAGACATCTGGCCCAGTGTTGTATCTGGTGGTGCTCCATATTTACACAGCCCAGGCGCAGAAACCTTGTTGTTGGTTCAGACAGTGGGAAGGATACATTCATAACGTAAGTCTCTGGCAGTGCAAAGGCGAGGCTGGTGTTGGTGCTGACCGGGGCCCACCCGCCCCCTGCCTCCGCTAGTGTGTCAGTGCTACTACGGGAGTGATTAAAAAAAAAAAAAGGAGTCTTTGTCACACACTTTACAACTCCACTAAGTCAATAATGGTTTGACTTCTGACTGGATGCTAATGTTTTTACAGGATCAAATGAACAACTCAGTCTAAACTCAGGGTGATACCAAGTGTGTCTAAGTTACATGGGTGTTCCCAAGTGTGTATGTGCTGTTAAAACCAAGTGTGTCTATGTTGAGGGATACAAAGTCAGGTGTGTCTGTTTTGGTGGATAACAGGTGTGTCTGTGTTAAGGTATACCAAATGTGTCTCTGTTTATGGATACCAAGACTGCCTGCGTTAGGGGGACACCATCTGTCAGTGTTACCATTAAAATTTGTTTTAATAAGATCGACAGCTGCTATTAAATTATATTTTTTTTATAAAAATCAAAGCACTTCTTATTTTAATACAGTTTGTTATCAGCACTTGATCTATTTTTTTTATCAGTATCACCGACCTAACTAGGGATTTGGAGCTGAGCTTTTTATTTATTATTAATTTTTGTTAGCTCCAGCTCTGCGCTCCAGCAAATTCAAACAATAGTTTTATATCGAATATAATCTTGCACCGATAATCGGGATTACATCTAATCCGTTTACCGATTTATAGGCAATCTGTCCTTTATGACTAAATTAGTCAGATTAGTCTTTTTTTCTTTTTACTGCAAGCTTAAATTATCACCCAAATTATTCTTCAGTTAAATCGCTGCAGTTATTTAAATATAATGCATTTTAAGCATCAAGCTTGTTCTTTTTATCTGGGAAAGTGGGTAGGGGTGGGTAAGGTGGGGCTAAGTCTTTACAGAGATGTGTTTATTATTGTTACTTAGCCATCTTATCAGCTAGGCATTAGAAATGTGGGACAACATGGCTGGTTGAAGAGTGGGGGCAACTTTGCTGGTAGAAGAGTGGGGCAACATGGCTGGCACTGGTAAAAGAGTGGAGCAACTTTGCTGGTAGAAGAGTGGGGCATCAGTTTTAATAAATTTACTTACAATTTTTGGAGCTCGAAAAAGTAAGAAATTTTAACACGTCCAGACATAAGATCCAGCTGCCTGAGCTCCGGGCTAGAGCTCTGCTCAAAATTCGTGTAACAAACTGTTATAACCCAAACTTGTTCATTGATATATTTAGCAGAATACACCCCATGTATTATGTCATACCAAGCGGCAATAATCTATTGTTGGCAGAGTGAGTACCGGTCCCTGTTTTATACATTAGACCAGGGGTCGAGAACCTATGGATAGCGAGCCAGATGTGGCTCTATTTGTGGCTGCATCTGGCTTGCAGACAAATGTTTGATTATAAAAATTGTCGCATTAATGGTAAGAAATACTCATTATTGATTAGCAACAGCATGACAATGTTATTAAAAAGAATTCAGAGACATAATTATTGCATTTTTAGTGTTGACATTACACAAAATGCACACATTTACTTGAATTTTTAGTTTTAAACATAATGTATGGCTCTCACAGAATTACTTTTCAAAATATGTGGTGTCCATGGCTCTCACAGAATTACTTTTCAAAATATGTGGTGTCCATGGCTCTCACAGAATTACTTTTCAAAATATGTGGTGTCCATGGCTCTCACAGAATTACTTTTCAAAATATGTGGTGTCCATGGCTCTCACAGAATTACTTTTCAAAATATGTGGTGTCCATGGCTCTCACAGAATTACTTTTCAAAATATGTGGTGTCCATGGCTCTCACAGAATTACTTTTCAAAATATGTGGTGTCCATGGCTCTCTCAGACAAAAAGTTTCCCGACCCTTGCATTAGACTGTATATTCATTAGTCGTTAGAAACATAAAGATTTTTTTCTTTTTGTTGGAAAACAGGAGCAACAATGATCACTTTGTAAATATCAACATCTGGTTATTGGTTTCAAAACCGAATGCCGGAAACCAGATTATCGTGAAACATCCTTAGACATAAATTGCGCTCCCCCCGCCCCACTACTTTCAGATCTACGGTGTCTATGACAGTGTCAGTAACTACGCCTCTACCTCAGATATCCAGTCCTACGTTCACGTGGACTATGGCCTGATGAAAGTGGTCAATGAGTTAATGGTGGTCAACGCAAGTGTTTTGACAACAGTCACAGTTATCGGCGACTACAAAAAGGTATTAGGTTTTATTAATCTCAAAAACCCATAACATAGAGAGGAATCAATAATGATTATTGGCTAAGTCAGTGGGCGTGGAGTGACATTGTCCCATGTTTTGAAAGGAAATCAATAGATCATATAAAACTTTTAAATTTAAGCCTAAGCAACAAAAATGATCCTTAATTTTATCCTTGAAATTAATTTTAAGAAAAATAATTCATAAGGGAAATAAATTATAATAACTTAATTATACTAACTTGAAATTTAAGTTTAAACTGACCTAAATATCTATGTCTGTTAACCCGAAAGCTCTGAAAACTTCAATGTAATGGTTTGGCACGTGAGGAAAGCGAAACAACTTAAAGCAACTTGACTCTAAAGGGAAAGAACTCTAGAAAATAATGAAAAACAACCTTCTCAAAATAAGTATTTAATAAGGGAAGACAACCCTTGAGGCAAAGTTATCTCTGGAGGAGAATGTGTCTTTTAATATAATTATTTTATTTCTTATAGACGTGAACTAAACATGAGGAATTAATTAGATATTTTTAATAGCAAGTAACATATAACATGCAAATGTGCTGTACTATTTGACTTCAAAAGTTTGACAGCTTGTTATTTAGCCAATCATAGGACAGCTTGTTATTTAGCCAATCATAGGACAGCTTGTAATTTAGCCAATCATAGGACAGCTTGTTATTTAGCCAATCATAGGACAGCTTGTAATTGGCCAATCATAGAACAGCTTGCTATTAGCAGATCATTGTACCTTTTGTTTCAACTTATTTATATCGTTTTCAAGAGCCTTTGCCGCGGCACACCAAGCATCTACTCGTGGAACACCAGTGGGCTGCGGCACACCGGTTGAGGTGCTCTGCCTAACACCATGACGACTCTCCCTAACATGTACCCAAAAAGTTACTTTCGATTTGCTGTTTAAATGTTGATATTTTACATTAAAATAATTTGCGTCTATTCAAATTTGATTCCAGAAAATCTCTTACACTATTGTGGGCAGGGAATGTTTCCAGTCACCGCTGACAGACGCACTGGATGAAAGCTGTGTGCCAGGTAGGATGTTGGTTTAAATGCTTTCTTTATTTAAATGCATTTTAGCATTGTATGTTCCTACAACATATAAACCTTTGATTGATTATGTTTAATGATTTCTTAATCAAATTGAATACTGGGATAACGAATTAGTCAGTAGTGCTACATTCTTGGACTTTAATATTTTATTGGCAGACAAGATGGACATAACATGAGAATAGTGTTCCCTCTAAGATATTTAAAGAACTTAACTTTCCCCGCCTAGTTGCAGCCAAACAAATATTAATCTCACAATGAAATATACATGGGGAATAAAGGCACTCTTAAAAACAAATGTTTGATCTTTTGAAATTGTTTACTTTGTTCTGAATGAAGCCCTTGTTAAAAATTGTGTTAATTTGGCACGCTTCCTATTCATTCCCACAAGAGGACGCCATACTGATAGGAACTCACAGCTTCTTGGGGGTGAAGGCAAACACATTTATCCTCCCCTTCCACAACGCCACCAGGACTACAACTTCTAGGATCACTGTTTCAAGTGACAACTGCCTGCCTCTACACGAGCTACTCTTGACCATAGACAAAAGTAAGCCTTGGATTTTTCCTTTTTGTCATTTAACATTCTATCTATTGAGTCTATTTAATTGATGCAAAAATTGAATTTAGGCTGTTGTAGATGTAGCCATTGATTGTATATGAAATGTAACTGCCACGATGTAGGTTACACATAGGACAACTGTCACTGATTGTAGGTTACACATAGGACAACTGTCACTGATTGTAGGCTATACATAGGATAATTGCCAAGGACTGTATCTAACATACAGTTGCCAATGATTGTATAAGTGATAAAATTTCCAATGATTGTTGTTGCGCTGATATAGTTACCAATGATTGATCCTATCATATATTTGCTAATAATTGTATCTGTAGTGTAATTGCTAAAAGTTACTGATGTTAACCAGTACCGGTAAAAGTTAAGTCACAGTAATTTCAGCATCAAAGTATTTTACAATAAGTTGCTATGATTAATTTTATTTGTCTTCATTTCAATGGTTCATGACAAATTATACAATTTAAATATTAAGGGATGTTACAGGTATAGAGCAGCAGAGCTTTACTTTTAATACAATAATTATTATGTTGCAGATTTACTTATGATAACATGCTAAAATATGATTGTCAGTTCCAGTACTGGCTATATTTCAAATGTCTCTTTTCACTCATGTTTACACAAAACTTAATGTCTCATTATTTCAGCCTCTTCATTCAGCACTATCACCATGCAGAATGTCACAGCAGGAATTGTTGATCCAAGTATATTCAACGTACCTGACTTCTGTAACCAGAAGCCTAAAGTCACACAGGTAAGTAAGGGCGTCCATTAATTACCTCACATGTATGTATCAATTATGTCTTTGATATCAAATATATGCACGTCCATGATGTCAAGATGTTTCTATTTGGTTTTAAACTAAAGTTTTGTATTTAATATAGACCAAATGTTATTGTAAGTATAAGTTCCATTCACCTTTACCACTCTTCACCACATGTAGGACAACTTAGACCATTTCTTTATACCATTACGTTGTGTTCAGTCAGTATCATTAATAGTTATCATTAACTTATTTGTTCTTAGGTTCTACACATGAACACAGTTGGCTGGCATACTATTATCAAACATAAAATTCTCTGAGAATTAACCTATTGTATTTGATACTTGAGTCCTAAATAGTACACTTTGTTGGCATACTTTTATCAAACATAAAATTCTCTGAGAAAGAAACAAATAAACCCTTTATTTTAACATTAAAACTTTCAGTATCATAGCACCTATTGAGAAATTACCTTCATTTTCTTTATTGCAAAGGGTAATAACTCCCTTTTTACCATAAGTTTTCTAAATTGAAACATTAATAAATTAATCTTTCAACGACTCATTAAAAATTAACGATAAGATAAAAATTCAATTTAAAAAAGTCAATATTTCGACCAGTGACACCTGAAATTCTTCAATGTGAATTGGAGGTAACTGTTCAGATCTATCAACATCGTCATCATCTTCTCACCCACCAGGGACATCAAAATGTTGAACTAATTCAATAAAATCCCTTTTATTTCCATGATCTATCTCTGCATTAAATTCATCACTGTCGAAACCAAACCCAAACAAAACACTTCTTGTTTATCAATAAGCTCTTTGTAACTCCTAAAAAATAAGAGTTACCTTCACTATGCAACGTTGAAAAACTGGGTGCTGTTTACGACGTAAGGGCAAGACGGCCGTAACTGGGATGAAAGGGTCAATTGACAATTTTTTAGTTCTATGTATTATGACGTTACTAATGAAATAACTGAAGCTACATTGAAAAAAATCATTAACAATTCACAAACAAATGATGGAAGGACTTTAACCAAGATGAGGTACCAACAATACAATCTTCTCTTTTATTTTGATACCATTGTTATAACTCAACAGTTAATGTGCTTGTGGCAGCACTGGATGACATCCCAGCATTGACGGCCATGGCCTTGATGTCATCCATTCATGACAATGTTCATGGTTATGTACATTAAATTTAAGACCAAAGATGGAACATAAGCTGAAGAAAAACAAATTATTATATGAAATGAGAAAATATTTTCCGTTCAACTGTAAGCCAATCTAAAGTTCTTTTCATGTTCCCTTCTTTCAATATCCATCTGTTTGGAGATTTCTTCCACTCTTCTTTGGAGATTAGCTACAGAAAAAATAATGAAACACTTTTAAAACCAAGTTTCAATCTTGTAACAACTACTACAGGTTTATAGCCCATAGAAGTAAAGGACCTCATAAATAGAGGTTTATAGACCATAGAAATAAATGGCCCCATAAATACAGGTTTATGGACAGAAATAAATGGCCCCATAAATACAGGTTAATGGACCATAGAAATAAATGGCCTCATAAATAAAAACAGGTTTATGGACCATAGAAATTAATGGCCCCATTTAAATAAATGCTGATAGAAATTAACACATGTACCAAATTAGGTTCTCAGAGTCAGTAAGGAGGATACAAGCAAAAGTAACAACGTCATAAAGGAGATTTGAACAGACTGACCTGAATTTCTGTCAATCCACATCAAAGACACAACATGAGCATTCAATATTTTGGTGATCTGCTGTACCTTAGTAACGATATGAAACAATAATTTATCTTAGTGCTATCGAATAAGAACTGTCAGACATGACAAAAAAATGGTATTAGTCAAGGTTAATTGAGTAACAGTATTGCAAACCATTGGTTTCCCTAGCTAACAAAATAGCCTGGTTTTGCAAACCATTGGTTTCCATAGGCAACACAAAGGCCTGGTTTTGCAAACCATTGGTTTCCCTAGCCAACACAAAGGCCCGTTTTCCTTCCTCCAATGTCATGTTACTGTGATTAAGAACCCAAAAAATAAAATTCAAGTAGCTTACAGGATCATTCGTGTCAGGTTTAGAATTGGTGGAGTTGAGACGTTCGATGATTTCCTTCAAATCTTGGCCCATACGTTTGAGCTGTGCATCTAAACTTTCAGCCAACATATACCTGAAAATGACATTTTAAATTTAAAATTATTACTAAGTTATTAACACACCAAATAAATTACATCCACAAATTAATGACAGATTATAATTTATGCTTTTCTTTGTCAGCTTTTGATGAATTTAACCAAAGATTAGTTTTAAAATCATTCATAAAATGTTGACAGAATTCAAGCTTTATGTACAGGGTTCCTGCACCAAATCTAAAAACAAACTCCAGGAGAAAATACAAAATTCCTGGACATTTTTTAAAGAGTAAAAAACGGAGAGACCCTGTACGCTTATACAATTTTTTTGTAGTAACAGGACATAAATGCACTTATATAGTACCGGTACTTACTCTAAGGATTGCCAATGCTATAGCAATTATTTGATTTAGGTATGTACCGGTATAGATATTCTGGCCCCGAGTTCACATACAATTGAGTAACTTGGTTTTTTATAAGAATAAGATGTACTTGATGTTGGATAACAAACAACTAATAAAGTTATAAGATAATCCATTTTATTCACAAGTAAGTCATATTTATTTCCGAAGATACACATAACCTAGGAGCTTGACTAGGAAGTTGCAAAAGTGGACACCCGAGGTAGGTGAAAAAACTGAAGTTGAACTAGAGGAAGACTCAGATGATTGTTGTTTATCATTGTTGATCATTTTCCCCTAATTTTCATGGCATCCGAGAACTGTCCTGCAAATATACTTCATATATTTACAGTATTTTTGTTTTTTCCTGTACTCATAAAGATCCCTAAGACGTGACGTGAGCTGTATTTTGTTGAAATTTAGGGAGAGTTGCTCAATTCGCCAGAGCCACTCTCTCGTCGTTGCCTATTTGATTCAATGGTAAGATTAGTCAAGACGACTGGATATAGATCAGGATGCAGTAGATTACCAGATTGAGTGTGTGTGTGTTTCACTATGCTCTTTATGCTTTCTACGTCATAGGATTTTGTCAGAATTTTCATTGAGTCAATGTCATAACATCTACGGGTCTCCATCTCCGGGTTTGATTTCATAGTTTTCCTTTTCCAAGTTGAGTTGCCATTCAAAGTTAACGAATTCCATCTACCCGGCATGCTGGTGATGTTTTTGCTTTTCTAGGCATTTTCTGGGGATAGAACTCCAGTACACTAGCCACTAGCTTGGGATTGACTCAGTTCAAAGTCAATATCTAGTATAGAGTAGCAGTGATGGCTGGTTCAATCAGTATTGCTATCTTAATTATCAGTCCTCAAAGGAACCGTTGGGCATTTATTTACCCTAGACCTTGAATAGTGAGATAAAATAGAATTAATTTATTATCATATTAGGTCTATAATATTGACTATATTATAAGCTATACTGGTACTAAATTAATAATAATACAGAGTCAGAAGAGAAACTAATATAGGCATATGCCTATGTAACGGCTTAGTCCGGATTTTAAACAAGGGAATGGGTCAGCGACCAAGAAACCACTTTTTTTTTTTATTTTGGGAATACCCCCCCCCCCCCTTTTCCAACTATGCTTATAATACCGCAAAGTAGGCCTATACCTAGAGCACAGGGGTGCATCACTTAATTTTTAATTTTTAACTACGTGTATAAATAAGGACTAACTATGTAAAGTTCAATGGTTGCATCAGCTAGTTTTAATAACTTTAAAATGAAGTTCCGAAGTCATTTTTGAAGTCATCGTAAACTATGCTACAACATGCAAAAATAACATAACATAACTTAATTTTTTTATTGAGTATTCTCCTATTTAGAAGGCCTAACTAAACTTAACTTACAAAAAGGCCTAGCACTCACTATAAACTATGTTTAAAAAAATATGTGTCAATATAATTATTATAAAAAAGGCCTACTACTTACTACCTTTTGTTAATATTTATAAATAAAAATCAAATTCATCTTCTTTGCAAACTGTAACAGCCGCGAGCCTTTGCAACACCATACTCGCGAAAACGCCGTATAATATAATGGTCAAAACTGATACTTTTCAAACTCGTGTTAAAGACATAAAAGTAAGATAATTCGTCAGATAAAGACTTAAACTTTATTCACATATTCATATCAATTGTACTCCTTTAAAACTACTATATAAGTAGGTTAATTTTTGTTTTTGAAAACTTCGGAAAATGACCCCAAAACTAAAACTACGCTTTCTCCAGTTTAGACAACCTACGGTAAAACTAACAAAACTTCAACTTTAAAAAAAAAAATAGGCTAAGCTTAGTCAAATTATACAGCGATCGGGCGCGTAGTTTTCTATTCATAATACTAATAATGGTTACCAAAAATTTAAATAACTACAGATAAATATCTATTTACTGTATTTTACACTATACTTTGCAAAATAAATTAGTTGAACGGCGAACTGAACGGAACGAAAAAACTTCTTGTCTATCAAAGCATTACGGTACGACATTTCATATCCGAAACTCGTAAAGCGCATGCGCAGTTAAGGGGAAACCACAATTATTATGGCAAACTCGTTTTGATAAATGAATGGCTAAAAATAGACTACGAATTGAATATAGAGGTAATATTAATTTATAAAATAACTATCGCGAACAAGATTTTTTTTACCCCTCCCTCTGTGGAAACAAAAATTTCAGGACATTTTAGGAGAAATTTTAAAATTTAAGGAGTTTTCCAGGATTTTATCATTTTTTTTCAAATTCCAGGAGATTTCCAGGAGCTCCTGGAATTTCAGGAGGCCGCGGGAACCCTGTATGTAATAACTAGTATTTCAGCCAGTCTCCGCTAGAATTTTACATTTTAAAACAGCAATCAATATTGTTGAAAAATCTTACGTGTGTTCCCTCTCCACATCTGCGTGCTGCTGGTAACTTATTGGTGGCATATTGTCCAAGTTTTTCTCCAAGGGAGTTAAGAGATCTTCAAGTTCATTCTGCTGGGACTGTATGAAATCAAGTTCATGGTCAAGTTTCTGCTGGTCCAACTTGACTCTCTCCACATCTTTGTTTAACTGAATGATCTGAAATGAAAGCAAGTCAAACAGGTGCAGTGGTCATCTCAACACATGAACACAACAAATGTAGTGGTCATCCAGACCTGTTGACCCTCAAACTCCTAAAATTGGACATCGTCTCAAGTCCTTACAATGCAGCAAATTAATAGTCAATAAACATACAGTGAATACAATCACTGCTCCAATCATGTGTCTAGTGGGATTGAGTTAAGCTGGCATCAAAAAAGTTAACTTCTAAAAGTAGATGGCAGATATTTATATTGCAATCTGCTGTCACTTTGCAGACGTGTATTTGCTATAGATATTAATTTATATTGAATGAAAATACAGATCTCATTATCACGGTCTATCACTGGTAAAAATAAATTACTGGTGAAATTTAACATGGTTCAAACTCAAAGCCAGATCAGCATAAAATAAAAATTTATTGAAATAAGAATAAATTAACAACAGATGAAATCCTTTAACCCACGAACTGTGGTCGCCTGATTAAATCGGCCGATTTCCTCTTCCTGTACTGTGTCAGCCGGTTTTATCGGCCGATAAAAATTGTGTTTAAAGAACAACTTCCAGTTCAATATTTTACACTAAATAAAACTACTTCCTTTTAATAATAAATAAACTTCTGTTTTTCGCTCTTCTGTGTCCTTTTTGTAAACTTTGGAGTTATTTTTACAACAATCTTTATCAAGCAATTTTGTGAAAGAAGATTTATGGGAAATGGATGAGGGCATAGCTGGACCATCTGGCTTACAAAATAAATCAGTTAGGAATCTTTTTGATAATTCTTCTTAGTTAATGACTTAAGTGATTCGGAAGATGATTTTCCAATCACACACAAAGACAATGATCATTCCGAAAATTTTTATAATGGGTCAGAAAGCGAAAGCTCAGACAATTTAGACCTAGGCCTAGAACGAGTAGGCGATGCCCCAATGACAGGATTTGTTCAAAACTATGTTGCAGATGATTTTGTACCAATAAAAAATAATTGGATTTGTTTTGTATATGTTTTCTTTTATGTCATTTGATGGATTAAATATTTATATAGCAGCTTTTTAAATTTTATATGTTTCTTGCTATTTAGTAATGTTTATATTGTTTATGTCCTGCTTTGTTACTTGAACGCAATTATAGGTATCAGAAGATTTTTTTTTAAAAATCTATTAATAACTAAAACATATACAAATATTACATTTGCTGAAAGATAAATACAAATGCTATCATATTAAATAAACATTATAGTAATATGCCTTTTAGAAATTGTAGTTTGAGGTACTTGAAAAGAAAACTTTTAATTATTTTCTTCATTCTTGGCCACTCCAAGGTCAAGGTCACCGAGTATAAAATAGCATTAGCAAAATAGCCAGTATGATTCCCCACCCATTCTACTTTCAATAAATAAATACTTTATGGGGGTCTAGCTAAAGTATTTGCATTTTAAAAAAATCACATTTTCCAAAGGCATCCAAAAAGCTATAAATTGCCCGCACAGTACAGAAACATAACATACACCGATCATGGGTTAAAAAAACTACTAAGTCACTTGACATTTATAATTAAGGAAACTGGTTTAAAAAAAAAAGAATCAATATCCATTTAACCTATATCCTGCTAATTTATTATAGTCTGATCAATATCAATAGTTGTAAATGGGTGAAAGGAAGAGGAATGTTGGAACTAAAATCAGATTATTTCCCAATTTTATTCACTAGTTTTTGAAATTGATAAAACATTTTTTTTCCTTTATTTTCATCCTTAAAATTTTTATGTGGGGGAGGGGGAGGGGGGGGGGGGGGGGGGGGGGGCGGGATTAAAAATTGTACAGCTGTTTTGAGGGTTCTAAAAATAGATTTCAATGCCCCCCCCCCCTCAGATCCTAATAAAATATGTCAAAATCTAATGTTGCTGCATGGGACAGTTATGAATGCATTCTCTGGTTTTCTCCATTTCTGTATGTCACAAAATTCTATCATACAGCACAGAAGAAAAGCCAGGATTGACTTAAATTGTCACTAAGGCAGCTACGTTTACTGTTGCCGTGTCTGGCAAAGCAACAATATTACCATCAACACTATTATTATGAAAATGTGGCCGTGTCAATTTTATAGACTTAAATATTTAGACAACCCTCCCCCTCCTCAAAATCTCTTATGCAACACCACCGCCTTCCCCTCTCAGGGCAAGTGTAACATTTGTTCCCCAACCAATCAAATGTCTCCATCCATTAACTGCTGGTACCTTAAAGTTATTATTTTTTAATCTGAAAAAATATCTGAATGTGTATATATTTTCAACCCTGTTTCTTAACAAATTCAAGTTCAAACTATAATTAACAACAGGACAAATGAAAAATGTTTCCCTCATCTTCATTGTTGACATTTCATTGAAATAAGTTGCACTATCTTTCTTTGTGTCAACATATGTCATACATGTCAAGAGTGTGTCAACATGTGATACATGTCAATAGTGTGTCAACATATGTGATGTGTCAATACATGTGATACATGTCAACATATACGATACATGTCAACAGTGTGTCAACAGATGTGATGTGTCAACAGATGTGATGTGTCAACAGATGTGATGTGTCAACATATGTGATGTGTCAATACATGTGATACATGTCAACATGAGACATGTCAAGAGTGTCTCAACATATGTGATACATGCCAAGAGTGTGTCAACATATGTGATACATGCCAACTTATGATACATGATAATATGTTTGATTTACCATAAACCAAACAGGAAACTCAGCATCACATGGAGCCTCGTTGACATGTGTTAAATAGATTTTCTATTTTTCAAAACAATTCTATCCCAACCTTCAACATATGTTACCTTTTCTCCATTTTCCATAACAATTCTATCCCAACCATTGACTTGTGTTGCCTGTTCCAAAAAACATTTTTCTTGTTCTTCCAATTCTGTTGTCCACTTGTTGATGGTTTCCTCCAGCTGACGGAAAGTCATTTGTTTCTGGCTCTGTACACTGCCCAGACTGAAATGTTCAAATATCAAGCTATATCAGTTGAAATAACATTCAACAAGTTACAACAAAGGAAGAAAAAAAAATCAAATTAAATCAAATATTTGTCATTGAGCTATGTGATATCTTCCTTGTTGCTTAACATGTCTGAGCGATTCTGGTTTTTCAAACACATACACAATTTTAAAATCAAATATAACGTAACAAGGATAACTGTAATGATATTATACTTAAAGTTGACAGCAACTGACAAGACCTAACATCCGTCAGATGGCTGTTGGGAGCAAGTACGTCGGAAGTTAGAGTTGACAGTAATTAATTAAATCCAGAAACAGATAATGGAAATAAAAGTGATATTGATACTGAATTAGTTCAACATTTTGATATCCCAGATACTGACTGGTATAACCTATTGCGTTCAGTTGAGATATGCTAAGTATAACTGGTCCTAACGTAACCTTATTTTACTTAAAATTTCATTTTTTTTTTTTCTACAATAATCAGTAATATTTTTATGACTGGATGAAAGATTTAAAAGACAATTTTAAAGTCAGCAACTTATGGTCCAAATTGGAGTTATTTAGAAATTTGTTTATCTTTACCCCGAGGCTACCGCTGCGGTAGATTGCAATGACGAACTGGAAACAGCAACAGGCACAGAGGATGTGCCAAAGGCTCCCAGGCCACTGACGGTGCCTACAGCAGGAGCCGAAGTGTTGGACTGTGCTGTTGTGGAACTTACACCGAAACCTAAAAATATAAGGCAGTGAAAAAGGTTAATGTTGCGTTTATTTAACAAGCAAAAAACAAAATCATCAAAGGCATATAAGTTCCATTATCACCAATAGCCAGGATGAGGACATCGTCTGGATGATGACATTCCCAGGATGAGATCAAATGGCCAGGATGATTATATAGCTAGGATAATCAAATGGCCAGGATAATGACATGCCCAGGATGATAACATAGCCAGGATGAGATCCCATGGCCAGGATGAGCTATAAGATATATATATAATATAATATGATATAGAATATTTAACAAACCGGATGGCACTATAGAGGAAGGTGCCGTTGAAGTAGGATTTGCTGATGACAGGGTGCCAAAATTGAAACCTGCAGATGAAGCAAGAGAGGTATTTGCCGGTGGGGCTGTTGATGTAGTGGATGTCGCCCCCAGCAGTCCACCAAGCAAAGAACCCCCACTGGTACCCTCAGAAGATGTCGATGTTGGAACACCTGGCAAAGAAATTACATAGATATCTCTAAACTGGATTGTGTGAACTTTGTACATATAACTTTAAACTGGATTATGTCAACGTTGTACATATATCTCTAGACTAGAGGCCGACCGAATTTCGGCTTCGGGCCGAAAGTGGCCATTTTATCACTTTCGGCCAAGTTTCGGTTTCAGCCGAAACTGGAAAGTTAACTTTCGGCTTAATTTCAGTTTCGGCCGAAAGAGAAAAGTTAACTTTCGTTTTTTCTTCGGTTTCGGCCGAAATTAACTTAGACTTTCGGCCACCGGGCCGAAAGTTACTCAGGTTTTCGGTCATTTAATACTAATCGACAGCGATATTTTACAACAAACTAAGCGACATTTAAAAACAAATTTAGAGATCCTTGAGAACAAACTAAATGATATTTAACAACAAACTAAACGACATTTATGAACAAACTAAACGATCTTTAAAACAAACTAAGCGATCTTTAAGAACTATCTAAGCGATCTTTAATAACAAACTAAAGGATCTCAAAGAACAAACTTAACGATTTTTAATAACAAACTAAACGATTTTTAAGACCGAACTAAATGATCTTTAAGAACAAAACAAATGATCTTTAATGATTTATAAGAATAAACTAAGCGATCTTTAACAGAAGATTAATGTTCTTTAAAAACAAACTGAAAGATCTTTAAGAACAAACTAAGCGATCTTTATGAACAAACTAAACGATCTTTAAGAACAAATAAAACGATCATTAACAAAAACTAGACGATCTTTAACAACAAACTAATGCAATCTTTAAGAACAAACTAAACGATCTTTAACAACAAACCAGGCGATCTTTATGAACAAACTAAACGATCTTTAACGACAAACTAAACGATATTTAACGACAAACTAAAAAAATCTTTAACAACAAACTAAACGATCTTCAAAACAAACTAAACGATCTTTAAAACAAACTAAACAATCTTTAACAAAAAACTAAACGATCTTTAACAACAAACTAAACGATCTATAACAACAAAGTAAACGATCTTTAACAACAAACTAAACCATCTTTTACAACAAACTAAGCGATCTTTAACAACAAATTAAACGATCTTTAAGAACAAACTAAACGATCTTTAAGAACAAACTAAACGATCTTTAACCCTCTATTACACAACAACTAAAACGATCTCTAACAACAAACTAAACGATCTTTAAGAACAAACTAAACGATCTTTAAGAACAAACTAAACGATCTTTAAGAACAAACTAAACGATCTTTAACAACAAACTAAGCTTTCTTTAACTCATTCCCTCCGCAGCGCTGCTTCCGGACTTAATTTATTTTCCTGAGAAAAGGGAAGCAACTTAGTTTTGAAATTGATTTATATTTTTAAAATATTTTTTAAGTTGCTAAATATTATTTAATGTTAATGAATTAAGAACAAATGCAAAAAAAAATGAATAAGGTTTAATATAAATATAACATTAGCAGGGGAAAAATAACGAACAATGGCCAAAAAAATCGATTTTCGGCACCTCGGACGAACACATGGTACATATAGACGTGCCGTACTAAAGCAAACGTAGTTTTAAAGTGAAACAAGATAAAAACTTCCGGTTTCTAAATTAAAATCACGCAGACATCACGCCATAGCCGGAAGTCTCGAGGGGTGCGAGATTTCATTGCTATTTTTAACTAAAAATAAGAGAGGTGTGTCGCTATGCGCCGGGACGCATCAGGAGGAACCCCCCGAGGACGCATTTAGTCGCAACCGTCGGGAATGAGTTAAGAACAAATTAAGTGATCTGTAAGATTAAACTAAACTAAGCGATATTTTAGAACAATCTAAGCGATCTTTATGAACAAACTCACCGATCTTTGATAACAAACTAAACGATCTTTAACAACAAACTAAATGATCTTTAACAACAAACTAAGCTTTCTTTAAGAACAAATTAAGTGATCTTTAAGATTAAACTAAGCGATATTTTAGAACAATCTAAGCGATCTATATGAACAAACTCACTGATCTTTAACAACAAACTAACCGATCAATAACAACCAATTAAACGGTCTTTAACAACAAACTAAGCGATCTTTAAGAACAAATTAAGTGATCTTTTAGAACCACATTTTTTAGAGACCCGGTTTCAAAAAAATAATATTTTGCATTAATTTCCCC